AATACTGTACATTTTCGAAATCAATACTACACGTTTTTAAATTAATACTGCACAAAGTGTGTAATACTGCACACTAAAATAGGCCCTGGAAAGAGCATTATCATTCAAGAAAGGAACATGCACAAATTACATAACAAAATATAGGCAACATTGGAAAAATCCTCTTCCCCCTAAATTATCATCTAATTTGCATCATTTATTGATCATTATGACCGTAAACATTTGTGTGAACCCCCTCCCTCCATCTTTAAATTAGGTAATATGTGAACGTTCCCATACCCAACTGCCAACGCATCGATAATCTTATCCAGATACAACCATTCTAATGGAAAGTACATACATAGGATTGTACTCAGTTAATGCTTCAAAAGTGAGAACCCTCTCGGCTATTCGATATCAGGAATTTGAAATAATTCGCATTAGTCATAAGTAAAGAAACTAATTTGCGCTGGTCACAAGTTTAGGTTAATCACAAGTCTTGGGCGTTTTTGAAATTTCGGAAAACCATTCAATGAATTATACAATTACGAGGAAATAGCAAAAACTGGTGGAAATTTGATGCATCATTGATACAGTTTTCCTCAATTTAATGGTGAAGCTTTCCTCAATTTAAACTGTAAAAATTTATGACGCCGAAACCATAACCACGGCGAACTTTTATGCAAACGTTCTTTCGAGAGGTCTATTGATGGTTGTAATCAATTTTAGTTCTGTGCGAATATTGATAATTGCCTTTCGAAAGTTCTTTGAAAAATATAACTCGAAGCAAGGGCGTACCGGGAAATTTCGCCGTGTTCTGGTAGGCTGAGAAGCGATGGGTGCAGAAAAACTGGATAATTGTATGCAGATAGAAAGGCCAAAATTTGGTGTATCCTGCAGGGCAGTAAGAAATCGCTTCCAGAATATTTTCACCAACAAAAAGTCCAAAAATAGAAGAGAAGAAAGTCCAAGTGGAATTAATCTTGAGCGCACAGAAAAACATGTTCTCCTTGCAAGATAAGGGAGCTTTTTGATGCAGCAATTGCTGATCAGCAAGCAGCATCCCAGCACGTTAAAGAAAACAAAAAGCAGAAATGGAAAAAGCTGAAGAAATGAGAAGGAAATTATTAGAAACAATGGGAGAGAGCAGGAAGAGAAAGGAAGGGGAGGTAAAAAATGCAAGTGAAAAGAAACGTAACGTTCGGCAGAAAACCTTTCAAAATTATTCAAGAAAGAATGAGAGTTGATAGTTGACTCAATCCGGGCTGACTCACAATTGCGTTTGGAAACCAAGTTTAGACCCACTTTCCGTTTTGAATACAAATTGAACAGAGTTTACCCTGGGTGAACACAACACAGGTTGAACCTCGGTAGCTGTTTGTAGTGTAAACCGGGCTTTCGACTGGAAATAATTTCACTTGCTTTCATTATTAAGCGTCGGACGAAGAGTTCAAGTGAATTTTGTTCCACTTTTCCGAGCTATTTTGAACATTATTTCTTCCTTATACCTATATTGTAGTTTTCTAAATGTATTATCAGTCATTCTATCAGTTCAATTTTGCGTAGACACGACATGCTCAATGCATTCTAAACAACAGGTTACACCATTCAATCTTTTCCTCTTGTGGGTATAGTTGAATTTTAGCTGTAAGTCAGCGCTGTGAGTTATTTTTCTCCGATCGCAGTAGCTGCCTAAAAATTTCACCATATCTTTGAAATGCGCTGAGATTTGTAAAAGCTGTTAGTTTCTATAGATTAAACACTGAAGCAACGGACGTCGTAGAGAAATCAGTTTTGTTGACTTTCTTGATTACTTAGATAAAATATGAATCAAAATTATGGACGAAAATTTGCATAAAAGAAGCATAAATAAAGGATATTCCTGGGAATTCGGAACTGGAGAAATCCCAAACGAGGCAGGCTTAAGAAGGTACCTTTCAGAGATGTTTTAATGTTCGCAACTTATCAAAAATATAATTTTCGAAACATTAGATCTGCAAATTTTTTGATAAAAAAGAAATTATGCTTTTTTGCTTTGCTCTCCTTTCCAAATGAATGTATAGCGAAGGGCTGGGGGGGGGGGAGTGTAAGAAGTGACGTCATTTGCAATATAATAGAGGGGTTCAGAGAGGTGGTGACACAAGGGGGCAGGGGGCCTAAAAATCTTTAAATTATAGGTGATATCATTTATGTATGACCCTGTCATGAATGTCAAATGTCTTGTCTACACTATACTATCGAACCTTGTTTCAGCCTGGGTAGGGGGTAGAGTGAACCCAAGTAATATTTTCTGTAGTGCGAACACAAAGTTACCTAGCCAAGGTTGATCTGGACTCGGCTCGGCCCGGACTGACTCGCCTCTGCCCGGGCTGACTCGGCCCGAGTACTGGTTTCTATAAAAATAATTAGTGAATACAACATGCACCTAGCAGCATACCCTTCTCTCTACAACGCGTATAGATGCTTGATGACACTTAGCTGCACCCAAGTTTCCTTTGAAAGATTATTCAGCGCTACTGATAATTTCAAAAGAAGAGAAAAATTTCCACTTGATTAAGAGCAAGTCATTGGCCAATTTGCTGATTAATTTGCACTTCTTCGAAAAGAGTTGAAACTCTGAGAATTTAAATAAGTTTTGATCTTGATTCTTAACTCTACCTGGGATTTTAAAGCCTGTTTACACGAGAGGAAAGGTATGGATCAAATTGGGTCCGAATTTACAAATTAAAGTCGATATACTGCTGCTGTTTAGCGTATTGCTTTATTATCAATTTTTATTGAATCAATCGTATTCTAAGCCACATTTTCAGTGGGTGTGGCTCAATTTTTCCCGCCACGCCCTAAACCGGGCCCTTGAGTTTTCTAGCCACCCTGCGATTTTGACGCCAGACCGTCCCTGAGTGTGGTTTTGAAATAGTTTAAAAATATCAATGATGATATAAAATCAAAAATTGGTTACCATATTTAGATTTTGTTATTAATATCCAAGCATTGAATTATGACATATTTTCGGCTTTTTCTAGAGTTTGGCCGAGATATTCCATAGCAGTTTCTGTAAACAAACAAAGAAAAAGTAACTAAATCACATCTTTGTACAAATGTGTTAAGAAGATTATGCATTAGTGGCTAAACATAGTCGCTGGATCCGTTTTAAAACAGATCAATAATTATTTTCTGGAATTTCGAAGAGACAGAAAACACCACAGCAAGCACCGCGACCGTAAATGCTTGGAATTTGCAAACGACGGCTTCTTTTTCCAATATTAACATCAATTTATAAATTTAAGTGTAATATAAGGCCACTCACCAAGTTTCACATCGGTGTTCGAAAGAGAAGTGAACCAAATCAATCCTTACTTTTACCAAATTTATAAGGGCTCGGTATGGAGCAAGTTCCTTTTTGCCACTATTCAAAATGGCGGAAGTAAACAAATTTGCCTCACAGTGGACCTCTGAGTTAGACATCTAGCGCCTTCGGCGCTTCTATATCATTGGATTGAGCAAGGAGCAAGCAGCATAGGGCAGTGGCATGGTCGGCAGTTTAGGGGGAAAATGCACGACGCTGGTCATGGCGGCACGTAATCGCGGTCGCAAATACTCCACATGACTTCAAATACGTCCGCCTTGCTATTTCCCACACTGAGTCCTTATGTAGGATCGTCTTTTTGCCAGTATTTCTGCCTGAATGATTTTGCCTCAGTTGAAAACAGCAAGTTAGATATCTTGCGCCTTCGGTGCTTCTATATATCATTGAGATCGAGAGTGCAATGCGAACAATAACCTTCGTTCGGCACAAAATTTACAGCTTGATTAAATGAAATTTGATTACGTTTAATGTGTGACAGGGTACCCCTTCTAGGTGCCCCTAGGGCTTTGTTTTTTGGACACAGATTGCACGATTGTGTGAGTGTTTATTGTAGCAGTGCTCGAGTAAGCATTACATTGTGTCTTTTATACGGCTAAAGCAACAAGCGTGCAAGTTTGCATTGGCCTTGGTTGTCATAAAATTTGTCTTGGCATAGTTTCATTTTCACACGTTACAAGACAACTTGAAGTTGGGCTATGGAGAGAAAAGATTTTTCCTTTGCGACACTGCCCACCCACACCATGTCTATATATTTTCAGGGTTTTTTACATGCATGTTAATTTTTTATTTCTTTTCTTCGTGCATTAGTTAATGGCCGTATGTCTTGCGACTTTGTGCATGAAAAAGTTGTTGCTAATCGGCGAAAGAAGGTGATTGTTCTTCTTCTCAACTCCCTCAAAAACGGTTGGGGTTACATTTACGACCGTCTTTGCGATTGGCGCACCGATAGCCCAAAGATAAATCGTCCAAATGATGAAAGAACGCTACCTTCAGTCTTATGATTGACAATGGTAAAATATTCTGAGGACCATCTTACCCTTATTTTCTAATGGTTTTTGCTTGGTAACCTAGAACATATAAAAACTGCCTATTGATGTAAATTCGTATGCAAAGCAACACAAACCTTTGAAAAAAATTATCGTAAACAAAAATCATATGACAAAGTATCTAGAAACTATGCAACTTTGTTCGTTCCAAAGTTCTGAATGGTTATAGGAGCCTTGATATTATCAAGATACCAATATAGGGGCCTAACATGATAGCCGTGTCTGCATAAAGAAATTATCAAATGCAAACATCGATCAATCAATTCCTATCTTAGAAGAGTGTGTCTGAAATTGTATTTTTGACGCTAAAAGTTTAGCATTAAACATTTTATGATCCACCACTCTTCACTTTTCACAGAATATTGCCCCAATGAGCAAACTTCAAATACGAACAATCTTGGTGAACAAGTTTTATTCAAAATTTGTGACTAACGAGTAACGACTGAGCATAGGTGACTTTCCTTCCAGGATTTCATTAAGGTTATCAGCTAAGTAGAAATATCTTAAGCAAAACCCCTTCAGTGTAGTCTCATACTCGAAGGAGAAATATGGTAAACGATCTGTTTACGTTAGTAAAAGAGTTAACAATTGAAGAAGGAAACCACATGTCCTGAAAAAGACTTACTGAATGCAAATACAACATATTTCGAATTACAAAAATAGTTGTAACAAAATTTATTGATATGTGCTGTTTAAATATATAGCAAAGCAAAAATGTATTACAAAAACCACTTTACCAATTATGATTATAATAATTATAGTTGCAAAATTCTTGCAAAAAAGCTAAAATTCTTCTGTCAGTATAACGTTTAGTCTAACGTTTAGTCTTATTAAAATCTTCAGCTGATGATGCAAATCTCATGATTGCTCATATCTGAAGGTACTGAGGTTTTGAATGGCCATCCAAGCCTCACCAATATCAGAAAACTAATAATTTTATTTAAAGAATTGTGAAAAAGCTAAGGGAGTCAGAAGATTCGCTACTTAAAATTTATGGCATTCATGGCATTCATAAAGAAAGTACAAATCAATGGCTAAGAGTTATAATTGTATTAATGCATTTATAAATAAATTTGATTATCGATATATCAAACCAAAAGTAAACTAAAGGATTTTTTTTACACTTGCTTCAGTCTCTAAAACGACTCTTAACAAGCAGTCTTGGCATCGCTATATGTGTTACATAAATACAGAATTCTCAAATAAGAAAATTTCCCAACGTTGATAAGTCTCTCTGGGAACAAAAAATAAAAAACTTCTACAAAACTACTATTATATTCAATACTTGCTAAAAAATTCAAATGTGTCATTTACTTTGGGCTTTTAGACCTGCAGATGCGATTCGTCAGATCACTGAAAGACTCTCTAAAGCTTTTCTCATCGCAAATCCATTTATAACTTCGTTATCCCTTCTACATCATCATACCCATCATCTTCATCAGAGAGAACAGAAATTTTCACAGGTGTAGTTGATAATGGGACTTCATCATAATCTCTTTGTGGATGCTGAGGTTGATGTCCATCACTTCCAGATGAAGAAACTAAATTTTAAAAAAGAGAATCCACTGTGACTAAAAAGTAGTAGCATTGTAGAAATAAAATAGAACACTAGAATTCAGGACGGTGGAGCTTATGTGCTGAGCCCCCCGTGTTTATTCTTTTCTTGACCACATTTTCATTTTAATTGCACTATACCCCTGGTTAAAGTTTTCATTTACATTTACTTGAATACTCTTCATTGTAATATTTATCAAACATCCCTATTCAATCAAGGATGGGATAATTTTTCAAATCTTTGTAGCTGTTAATCGAATATCTTACCATACCAATTTTCATAAACTATACATTTTTTATCAATTGAAAAACAGATGTGTTGGCCTACCCGAACCCTTTTTTCGGCTGCCGCTGTCAGATGTTCTTTCGCCCTTCGTGATGATAACAGGGTCAGTTTTTCCGGAAGGATCAACCTTCAAGCTGATATCCATAGAGACCCATTCAGGGTTCTCCTCCTCAAAGGTGATATTATTTGATATCGTCTCGTAATCTACAATGATTTAACGAATCAAAATTCAAGAAGAAACTTTGATAGAAGAGAGAATCAAGGTGCTAAAGAACTCGGTGGCGGACATACGTCTTCCTAAGGAGGAAAATTCCTACTGATGATAGTTCTTGCTCAAAAAAATCACCATAGTTTACACCTCTGACAAAGCTAGCGGCATACCAATCTCAAGTAAAAGCTCTAATTGCCTTCCAGGGTTATTTTAAATGCTACATTAAGCGCGCTTGTTTTCGCACCATGCACAGTTTTTTTAGCTGGAGGGTACAGCAAAACTCTGTCACATTCTAAAGATATTTCTGGGGGATTCTGCAGAAAGTTCTGAGACGAAGGTAAAACAGATTATGGAATTAAACGGCCAAATCAAAGTCAGTCAATTCTTGCGCTTTAACGTAATCATAGATTCATTAACAAAGCTGAACAGGAAATTTCCAGAGTCAGAGGATAATAGCGGTAACACGGCTGACTACCACCCGGAAGTTCAATAGAAAGAAAAATATACAATTTAAATTAGCTCATCCAGACAAGCAGGGCTGTCGCAAGGCAAGCCTTGTCGTAGGGGGGGGGGATGTAGGGATGTAGACTACAAATTAACCTAATTAAAAATCATTGTCAGAAATTCTGTAGTTGCTGCCACAAACCTCTGTAATACACTTGGTCAATCTAGCTCTGCTTATAATTCGCAATTTTCATTTTTAAACGATAATAACGGACGTCCTAATAGTTTTGTCAAATCTGTACATCGTGATGAGCAAAATATATAGTTACCACCCGAGGCGGTGCCATGACTGCCGCCAAAGGAGCAGACAATTTTCGAATTTTGATGCTTCCAGCTCCTTGGAAAATGCATTCTTTTGAGCAAATTTCACTAAAGAAATCCTCCTAATCCTATTGAAAGTTCTTTTTCTTGTAAACAAAGTGAGCAGCAGATAAGAACAATTGGGAAAAATTCTCCGTGGTCTTAAAAAATATCATGTTGTCAGTTACTTCTAAAGCTAAGTAACAAGCAGCACTTACATCACTCACACCCCCGGTCACGACGCCCCTGCAGACAAGGCCCTGTTTTCAAATTACGCCGAGTGGCCAGAGGATTAGTACTATCAATATCTTTGAATTCATAAGGAATATGTAAACGACAATAAACTGAAGTTCAATTGAAAAATCACTGTTTACTAAAGCTTACTTGTAAATGTATTGGTAGTTCCAAGGTTACTTGTAAATGTATTGGTAATTCCAAGCTCTGACGTGATTGGCTGCTGGTCAATCATTTCAAATTCTAAACAAGAAATATTAACCAATTATTCAATAACCGCTAACAAACCACAAGAAAATTGAGCATTACATAACTGATTAAAATGCTAAGATGCAAATATCGGCTCTTTTTGTAGAATATAAGCTGATGGTCCGAAATTTCAAAATGCACAATTTCAATAAAGCCTAAAAGGTAACAGACAGGAACTCAAAAAGACACAGTGTTGCCAAGCACGTTAGTCTTTTATGCGTTGAATTTAGATGTACAACTTAGCTGAACACAGGCAACACAATTTTAAACTTTGGCAGAGCCATGGCATTGTTTTGGTAGAATAACACTTTTTGTTTTGATAGATCAATTTACAGCTCGAGAGTGTGCCTTTATCTGGCTAGGCCATCTGTCAATCAATACTAACCAATCAATAGGTCTGTGAGTGGTACCACGCTCACTGATTGGCCAATAGTCGATTGACAGATGGCTAAAGTCATTTTAGTATCTGCCGATTGCCTTTAATTGAAAATCGTTTAAAATCGCAACATCTTTTAAAAATTATCGAAGAAAGAAAAAATGAACAGTCATTGTGAAAAATTTTATAGTTGGTCACTCTCTTCTAACTGCAAACTTTTAACAAAGTCTAAAAAATGTATCTGCTTAAAAACGTACCTTCTGGATTAACTGGGTTGCTGAAAAAGGATAATTCAATGATTAAATCTTCATTAATGACAAGATAAACAGTATATCTGACGCTCAAAGTAAGAAACAATTCACAATGCATAAAGTAAGAAACTATCAGAAAACGAAGAAAAAAACTAGCTAACCAATGTCTTATTTAAAGGGTAATTTGGACTAAACAAATGTCCCAGCAAGATCTTTTCCTTATTATCTAAAACTACAATAATTTATATGTTTAAGAATAAGGGAAAACATTCTGAACACGAAGCAAGTTTGATCTCATAAGCAAAAGTGGTCCAAAGTACCTCTTTGGTCTTTCTTCTTTCAGGGTACCAGCTACGGCATAGCCATCTGTGGTGTCACTTGCATAAAAGTTCAAGTTTTCTGTATCTGAAACTTTTTTCCTACAGTGATAAAAATTGCATGTGAACAACAGACCATTGCACAGCCTTTATTCTTATGCTCAAAAAAATTCACTCTTCTCCACGTTTTCTGTTAAGGTGCTGCAAAATTTACTCAAAATTCTTGGTAAAGTAAACTAGATTTTAATGATCTGTCACTAGTACTCCTCTCACTTAACTGAAAATGTTTTATACCATATTCAAAGTCTTGCTCTTCTCAAAAGACTCCTGTCAGGTATAACTTTCAATTTTGTTGAATGAATACTTTGGCAACGGAAGTTGCCATGACATTTAACAGGGTTTGTAGAGGCTCAGTGACATAAAAAGAATTCACTTACGTTTGTGTATACATTGGGTTGATAAATGATTTTGCAGTGAAGTCATAGTGCCTGTAAAATAGAGATGTTACTTATAAGGAGTACAGGATAAAGACAACCAAGATAAACATCTTTGTGGAACAGATAAGAATAATTGTGAGCTTGAGAGTTTAGGCGCTTCGCAGCGAAAGCAGAGCTGTTTCGTTAAATAATGTTGTTGTCGAGTTGTTGTCATTAAATATTTACCTGTACTTTCGCTTGAAGCAGAAAATTATGACGATGACCAATACAGCCATGAAGAACATCAAGGACAATACGACGAGTCCAATGATCCAGTACGTTGCAACGTAAGCACTGTTTCCGACACCGGTTTGAGTTGAAACGGATGCCAAAGCTGCAAAGAAAATGTTTAGTGAAGTTTAGGCAGGGTAAAACAATGAATTATGCACAAACCAGTGATGTCTTTGCATCCTTGCATGAGTTTTCGAATAAAATGATTTATCCGAAAAAAGAATGCAAGTCGTTGCAGCGAATTTGTCGAAGAAATGAAAAAACTGGTAAGACAAACAAGAGATGAGAGGTACATTTATGTCTATAGCATTTGTATTTGATGCTATCTATCTTCCAAGGTAAGACACCAAAAATGCTATCGAGCAGTGTTGACACCTCGTGATTCCTACGCCTGGCATAACGGGGAATTGGCAATTCTCATCACGTGGCAATTGGTTATGACAGGGACTCGAACCCCAGATCCTTTGGTCGGTAGTCGGCGAGCCCAGCCATTGACCCATCCACACACAAAAGGTATTTTTAACAAAGAAAACAACAGTTAAATGCATGTAAACAGAAGTTGATTTACTAGTAGTCAAAATCTCATTGTTCAGGTCTTCTGTAAACGAGAAAAAACAGTATAGGACATACTTGTCGCTTTCGGCTCGGTAAATGCGCCAGATACAGGTTGGTTGTTGACATAGTAGCCCACCAGTTGAAATCTAAATTCAATCGAAAAGAGAGAATAATGCACAAAATATCCTTATTTCAAAATCAGAATTTTCAATAAATTAGAAAAATTCATTTATTTGCTGTAAATCTATCTGTGAAAATAATTCAGGCTTTGTAAGTAGAAAGACTGTACTTAGGTTTAGTAGGAGTATGATGCCAGGCAAAAAGATTATTACAAGATGATCACTAACAAGTACATTGAAGTCTTAACTCGAACTGTATCACTTGGCATTGAAGACTTCAGTTCATTTAATACAAAGACTTTGGTACAAACCACTGCTTGCCTTGATGTTTCAACAATTGAGACATATTTAGTGGAAAAAGAGATAAACTTTGAGGTCTATTAGATACACTTGCAGACACGTATAGGAGATAAAAAGCTCATACGAATGAAGAAAATGTTTTCAACTAACCTGTAAAACCTTCCTGGTAGCAAAGGTCCATTGCAGATATCGCTTTCTAATGTTTTACTTTGGCAGTTCTTCTCAGTACCCACATCAAAGTTGACTCTGTTTGACGTCTCTTGAATCTAAGTTTATATCGAAATAAACGAGTGATTAATGGGCTGATAACACGTACAAATTGTAAGATAATCTTAACTGACCTGTTGCTCATAAGTAAGAAATGACTGCTAGTGAAATAGCTTAATCTGTAATTCTTTATGAAAAATGCATTCTTAATTTGCAAGAATAAGATAAATTGAAATGTGGATTGTGAAACTTACAGCTCTTCTTTTTCGCTTTGAGTTTGTTTTGATAATCGTTGCAATGACGTATCTTCGATACCGGAATGTATTTGGTATGTAATGAACCTGGTACCACGAAACTGTGTGCATTCCTGTCAATTCATTGACTAAAAACGAAAGAAATGTAATACAATAAAAGTATGCAAAGGGCTGTAAAAACAAATAGGAGAATCTTCACTTATGAAAATACTACAAATACTTTGAAGAGCGAAACTATGTTAAGCAGATACGCAGTACTTTTGCGTTAGCAAGCGACAGGCAACTTCTCTGATGCGGAGTCGACACCAAAGGGTGGAGTTGGGTGATCACAGTAAATCAATGGAAAGAATAAGCTCTTGCTAAACGACTGTACTTACAATTGGTCGCTGACGCCTCGTACTGTTGAGCAACAATTTCATACTTGATTATCTTTGAGTCTTCAAATGGGTCCTTTGTTAAAGAAATCTGCATTGTAAGTGCGGTTACTGTCGTGATTGAATTGTTGTTATACTGGGGATGAAGAACGGCAATAGTGATGTTAGCTGCGAGCAATGAAGTTTTGGCAGGCGTGCCGTGGTCTCGAGCAGTTACTGTCAAGAAGAAAACTTTTGGCGCTGATGACGTGTTTAGCGATTTCACGTTTGTGATTATTCCCGTTCTACCGTCCACTGCAAAATAGTCGGCGTTAGCTCCCTGCAACTGATTATAATGGATAACACCGGATGCACCAGTATCGTTATCTGCTGCAGCAATAATGAGAACAATGGATCCAAGTGTGGCATTCTCGTTAATTACGGCGCTGTATGATTGATGTATAAAGTATGGGCGATAGTTATTTGGCTGGATGATAACAGAAGAACCTGTGAAGTAAAAACAAAACGTTATTTATTCATTTATTTATTTATTTATTTATTTATTTATTGTCCTTCTTTCTTGATATGACTGCATGTGACAAGATTTTCTTTTAGTAAGATAATTAACACTTTAATTTTACTCCGGAATGAATACAGGCCATTTGACAATTGGCTTCTGTATCGTATGTTATGCAACTCTACTGCAAGGTAAATAGATTCCAAAACATGTTTGTGTGTTTTCTTCAGTTCTGCACTGAGAAATCGAGGCATTCAAGCCAGCCAACAAGCTTCAAGATTAGAAATGACGCAGAAAAAGTTTGAATACAAAACAGGGTAGTACAAACCAAATGATTAAGAGTATTTCTGCAGTTGTATTTTTACAAACCTGTATCAAATACAACAGGGACACAAGATGTTGTTGCCGGATTCGCAGCATCTGTTGCACAGGCGGTGATCACAATGGGCGACGATAAGCCAGCACCTGATAAGGACTTTTTCAATGTGACCACTCCAGTTGTAACGTTGACGTCAAAATATTCATTCGCAACGGCTCCATCAAGACTGTACTTAACAGCTCCCATGCCGTCAGGATCAGTTGCTGATATTGTAGTAACTATTGTTCCAATGCTGGTATTCAAAGGTACACTGGCAGTGTAAACCTTACTGGCAAATACAGTCTGTTTGTTGTTTTCGTTTCCAACCGCAATGGTGAACGAATGACAAGCTTGACTTCCCGTGTTCGAGTCTCGTGCACAAGCTGTTAGGCTGTGAGATTGTGCCGAATCGTGGTTTAAACTTTGGTTCAGGGTGATGATACCCGTCACAGGGTCGATGAAAAACAACCCATTGGCATTGCCTGAACTAATAGAATAAGAAATGCTGGTACCAGCGTCGTTATCTGTCGCTCGGATTGTTGTGACGTATGAGCCGCTGCTTGCCAGTTCTGACACAGTTACTTGAGATGGGCCAGTGACAACCAGTGAATTGTCATTGACGTCTGTCACATTGACTACGACAAATGCAATGCTGGTTATACCAGTCACTTGGTCTTGGGCATTGACGACAATAATGTGTGACGTCATTTTCTCATAGTCCAATGAGACTTTCGTCGTTATTACTCCGGTCGCATTGATTTGGAAGTATGCATTACCTTCTGGATTACCAATTGAATATCTGAAAACGTGTGAAACATTACTTGATTAAAGCGTGATATTTACGGTGTAAAAACTAAGCAAACATTCGATAAAGAGATGCCAATTTCAAAATGTTTGAAATAATAGACCAAAAATTATTATCATGAGAACGCAATGTTTTTTTCTTGCAAATGAATCAAAACCTGACCAGACAATATTGACACAGGTTAATACCATGCTAGGAAAGGGTTTTCACTTACAAGATATTTCTGTTAGAAGACACTGGTGTACCAGTCAAAGAGACAACAGTTGCCCCTACAGCTACATTCTCGGCCAATGTCCCAGTGATATAGGATGACGCACCAAAAAGCTTACAGCCTGCTTTTGCTGCCGTTATTCTCACGATAGTGACAGTCACTGTTGCCTGGATACCAGCCTGTAAGCCTCCGTTGTCGGCCAAACTGATGCGAAGGGTGTAGGTATTCTGCGTGTAGAGGTAAGGGGAAGCGGCCAAAGTGATTACTCCATTGCTTGGGTTGATTGTAAACAAGCTGTTCGTATTTCCACTGTCGATCGCCATAGTTAGAGTGCTCACAGTGTCACGGTCTCCAGCCAGAACATGGACAACGGTGGCACCAGAAATCGTGTATTCATGAATCTGGACAGCGTATGTTGCAGTGATGAAGTATGGGTGATTGTCATTAATGTCTTGGACATAAATATCGATGGATACATTGCCAAAGACTCCACCAGCGAACTCTGCCCTCACATTGAAAAGATGGCGCTTGGCTGTCTCAAAGTCGAGTTCCTTCACAAGGAAGATTTCACCTGTGATGCAAAATCAAATCATTATAACATCTTTGAAGTTTCCAAGGTTTTTATCAATCTACGAGTTTCTAACGACGAACTCTTATCGTCTATCGCAGAAAATAATTACATTATCAATGTTACTTTTACTGTTCCAACAAAAATTTTTATCAAGATATCACACCTGTTGTCCTGTTGACCCGGAAGTATTCCAAAGCATCTGCTTGTACAATACTATAGTTAACAGCAGCAGATCCACTAACAAGACGCACTTGGAGAATGGCACTTGAATATGTGGTATTCTCAAGAAGTGTTCTGACATACTGAGCCCTACTAAACATGTAGTTGGATGGTGCCAGGCAGGTTGGGCAAGTTACTGGACATGTTACAGGAGCAGAGGTAGTCACAACTGGTACACCAGTACAAACAGGGCAAGCTGGACAATAGACTGGGCATTTGGACGGTGTAACAGTGAACATAGTATCAAGATGAATGATAATAACTGCTTTAGACTGCGCTGTACAAACACCATCCGTGACAGAGAGAGTCAGGTTGAAGGTTTTTGAGCCTGCGATTACAACACGCTTCTTTGTTCGAATCACTCCCATGTTATCGATTGAGAAATCATCTGAAGAGAATAAAGAATATCTCTTGTTTTAAATTGAATTGAATTACATATATTGAATCATTTACAGTTATATGCATTTGTTAGATATCATTCAATTGGGCGCGTTCAGTACTTTTTGATGCGAAAATAGAGTAAATTGAGATATAAGTCAAAACTCAAGCTTTCAAATGTTTACAAAGAATATAATTGTAACCTGTACTTGGCTGCTATAACAAACGAAGAAACGATCAAATAGCAAGAAATACCTCCTGTATCTCCTGCAGTGATGCTGTACGAAAGTGCCGGAGCACTGTCGGCATCATTCGCTTTATTGATTGCTATGATAGTACCACTTTCAACTGGAGTTGTCAATCTTGAATAGACCTCGCTTTGGCTGAACACCGGACAGTTGTTGTTAACATCGAGTACATTCACTACAACAACTGCATCCGAGTACTCGCTACCTACTGTAGCTCTGACAGTAAACCGGTGCATCTTCTGCTGCGTGTAATTCAATGGAACTATCAACGAGATCTTTCCTGAAAATCCAATAAAAACATAGTTAAGAGACATGTTGAGATAGAAATTAGCGCATAAAGGCAAGAAGCAAGTTTGAGAAAATGCAATAAATGGTTATTAGTATTCACACTAAGTGTGTAAATGCGCTAGGGAAACAACCTTAGAAGGGGTTTCGAAGAAGCCAGCAAGTAATTACCTGAAGTCGAATCGATATGGAACATTTTTCGGGCACTTGGCTCAACAATTGTATAGTTCACAGTGTAACCTCCATTGATGGTAACAGTCAGCAAGTTTGATGGTGTAGTTCGGTTCTCATATACATCTATTGTGTAATACGGTTGTTTAAATATGTAGGTGGTGAACGCACGACACGAGGGACAATGCAATGTCGGACAAACAGGACATGTGACCGTTGCAGAGCATGTGACTGGACACGTTGGACAAGTCTTGACAGGACATGACGTTGTGGTAGCAGTAGTAGGGCATGGAGATCTTGTTGTTGGGCATATCGGACAACCAGGACAGAATTTATCTGGGCACTTTGTAATCGGCTGTGTTGTAGGACAAGGAGCACATGTGTAGTTGTAGCAAGATGGCGGAGATGGGCATGGAGGCGGTATATCTTTCATCACAATAACAACCATTGGAACTATCTTAGAGCATAGACCGTCGGAAACAGTTATCATCAGATTGAAAATATGCTTATTTGTAGATGTTATGAGTGTGCGTGCAGTGACGATTCCAGCGCCATCTATGCTGAAGTTTCCATTTGTATCTCCGGCCGTTATTGCGTATGTGTGGTTTTTAAACGAGTCTAAATCGTTGACTATAACGCGGCCAACGACTGAGCCTGGTTGCACTGGCTGATAATAGGATCCATTGACGGTTGATGCTTGCGGACAGTTATTGTTTACATCTGTCACATGGACGATAACGGATACGTATGATATGAGATTAGTTACGTTGGCCTTGACAGTGAACTGGTGTCGAGTGCTCGTTGCATAGTTCAGTGAAGACAGAAGACTCACAGCGCCTGAAATAGAATATTTTTATCAATTTCAAGGGTACCACATCTCTAACAGAATAAACAGCATTTCTGTTAGAATTGATGCACTGAATGAGTATCTTGATTTTAGAAATAAGGAATTGTAAATATCATAAACTTAAGTGAATGCACGAATTGCTGTTTTGCTGAAAACTACGCCAACGAATCGTGATCAAAAGATGATTAAACTACAATCAACATTTCTGCGTGCAAAAAAAGGATATGCATATAAACTTCAAAATCAAAGAAATGCGCGTGCTCTGTTGCTCCAAAATAAAAATGCAGGAGAACCAGATAACCGGAAACAGAACAGTGAATAAGTACCATTGCTCCTTCGCCGGGGCAATGTAACAATTATATTAGTCCTTCACCAGTTTTCAGGACTATCCTTAAGTATATCAAAGTTATTTGTCAAATGCAAATTTCGATAACATAGGGGTGGCAGCTTCAACGCCTTACCTGTAGAGGGGTTAATCTGGAACAAAGACTTTGCAGCTACTTCAACTATTGAGAAAATTGCAGAAGATGTCAACGGCTGTGTTTTGATGGTCAAAAATGTCTGACTTGTAGGGTAGGTTTCTTGTAAAGTAACCTCATAGTGGTAACGTGAGAAGGCAAATGGACAACCAGTCAATGGGATATCGAGAATAATTTCAGTGGCAGCTTCTCTACATTTGAACTGATTGTATACAGTAAAGGTATATTTCTTCAAGCTCAACAGCGTCGCAGCATCAAGTGCATTTTTCAGTATGACTCTCCCTAAAATAGAAAAATTACAAGTAATAGAAATTTGCAAGGTACCAATATAAGTTATTCTGTTTGATCGTTTAGATATTACTAATAAAAAAGAGTCTTTACATTAAGCGTTGTAGGTAAAACATTTAAACAACAAATCTCTATTTGGCCAAAAGGAATAATACATCAGAATCAAACATAGCAGTCCTTAATGTGTCTACGTACGGTAATATCTAACTGAGTTTGTTAACAAACCATCTTAGCAATAGAGAGGAAACCAAAACAGTGTTTGGGAAAAATGATATAGTTTAAACCGAAAAGGAGAATGTACCAGTGGTTTGATTGACACTGAAATACATCAAGGCTTTGCTGTCTTTGATTGAGTAATTTCCAACAATGAGCCTGTTCTTCGCTGCTTGATTTAGCTCGACAGTTGCAACAACTGAGTTAGCTGTCACGTTTTCAGACACAACTGCGGTATAAGCAGGCTTGCTGAAGTCGAATGTTGAAACATGTGGACACTCCAAACATGGGCCACAAGTGGTTGGCTCGTTAACATCTAATACATTGATTATAACTTCAGCGGTAGTTTCATGAAGACCATCATTGATACCGACTAGAAGCTTGTAGTTTGTAACTAGCTCATAGTTCAGGTTCTTATTGACTAGAATTTGCCCTTTGCTATCCACTCGGAAACTGTCCAAGATGTTGCCTGACTTGATATTATACGTCAGTTTAGAGTTCAAATCTGGGTCAGTGGCTCCGATACCGATCACAATTGCTCCCAGGGCAGCCTTCTCTGAGATTTGTACTGTAAACTTCATTTGACTAGGTATTGGTACTTTGTTGTTGATGTCAATCAAATTAATGATGACAATGCTTTCAGCGATTGCTGAGCCAGCTCTTGCGTAAACTTTAAAGATGTACATATTCCTGACAAGATAATCCAGAAGTTTTGCACTCGTAATATGGCCTAAGAGGCAAGAAAATAGAAATTATATAAGATAATGACTATTAGCGAGCGCAAAAGCAAGGGTTTACTTTAGCTTTTTGCATACAGAGTTGCATGGAGAGTTCCATACACATCATAAACTTTCAAGACATCTGACGGTGGTAAGTTGAAAATCTAATTCAACAGGCAGAATACTCAATAATATGTATGCGAAGAGGGAAAGGTGAACATAATCTCGAAATAACTTGCAGATATTCAAGCAAGTAATCTTTTATGTTGAAAATACCGGCCAACCACAGTGAATAAGAAGACAAATTTGAAACGCAGTTGTCATTGAAAATAAAAAAAGTCAAGACGAGAACGCCTTACCGGTGTTAGGATCTATCTTGAAATCAGTCACCCCACTCTCCATGGAATACGTTAAAGTTCTGTTTCTTGGATCTGTTGCTAAAACAGTCAGAACACTTGTTGTAATATGCACATCTTCCCGGATAGAAGTGTTATACATACTCTGGTTGAATATCGGTCTGCAAATGAACACTTGAGTAACAAAGATTTTCAAATTTGTACTTGCTCGGTGAACACCATCTGAAGCAGTAAGTGTTAAGTTGTGTACAGACGCACTACTGTAATCAAGCTGCTTTGTCAATGTAATAACACCATTATTATCAACAGCAAATAGATTTGAGCCATTGATGCTGTAGGTGAGTGTGTCACCACTATCCTTGTCCATTGCTTTGCAGGTTAATACGATCATTCCAATAGGGGATGCCTCTGATATTGTGTTGTTGCATTGTGTCATAAACATCGGGGCGTTGTCATTAACATCAATTATGTTCACTGTTATCAGAGAATTTCCTGAAAGGTTCGGGACACCATTGTCTGTCGCTTTAGCAAGGAATGTGTAAGAGCGAACAGTCTCGTAATCAAGAGCTGCATTGAGTGTGATGTTACCGTTGTTGTGAATTGAGAAGTTGCTTGAATCTTTATTTGAGTCAATGCTGAATGAAAGCTGGTTGTAGACACGATCCGCATCTGTGGCCAACACCTTAAAAAATACGACATTTCAAGGTTATTTTCACCGTTTTACGGTAGTCGTAGCATTAGCATATCACTTTTCTTATTCTAGCTTATTATCAGTTTTCTCATTCATGACAATGGCTTTGAGATGATTTCAAATACTCTGTATTATAGTTGATTGCTGGCCTAAAGGCATCTAGAAGTTCAAAAACGTCTTTATTCGAGGCGAAGTTAGAATAATTAAAACCTGCTGGTACTTCATTGAAGATCTGCGTCGTTCATCCAAAATAGATCTTAAGAGTAATAAAAAGGGAGCCAAATAGAAAGAAATTTGTAAATAAGTAAATATGACAATTACCCTTCCAATAAAGCTATTTATGCTGGCATCTTCTCGTACGCTGAAAGTGTTGTACAAAGACGAAAACATCGGCTCATTATCATTCACTTCAGTTATTGTGATGTACACTGTTGCATTATTTGTCGCTGTGTTGCCTCCTCCATCGCGAGCAGACACGGTCATAGTGTAATTCTGCTTACTTTCGAAATCAAGTGTACCTGACAATTTGACTTTGCCATTTGAATCGATTGTAAACGTGTTTGTGGAATCGTGTAGCGTGTACGTAATCAGGCCTCCAACTCCCGTGTCATCGTCAATTGCAGTGACAACAACAGCAGTAGAGCCAACAGGGAAAGCTTCCGATATGTTTGCTGAATATGACGTCATTCTAAAGTATGGTCGCTCTTCATTCACGTCGATGATATTGATTTTGATAACAGCAGTTGTTCTTAGAGAGGGGCTTCCCATATCCATGGCAAGAGCAATAAGCTCATAATATTTGACGCTTTCGTAGTTAAGGCTTCTATTCACCGTGAGGTTTCCATTCGATGACAAAGCAAAATCTTTGTTTGTTGTGACCAGCATAAAAACGATACGATTGCTTGGACCTATGCGATCGGCGTCCGTTGCATTGAGCATGCCAACAAAGGTACCAGGGAGAGCTGATTCGCTGATGTTGTAAACGTAAATGTCCTGACTGAAGACGGGGCGTAGATCGTTGTGATTTCTGATATTGATTGTAACAGTTGCGTTTGAAATACTTTGGTGAGCTCCTTCTGAAACTGAGACAGTAAGAGAAAATGATGTCCCTACCATAGTGTCGTAATCAATCATCTTGGCCTGGATGATGTAGCCAGTGCTAGACACATTGAAGTTTCCAGCTTCGTTACCACTGATGATCTGGTAACGATAAGGCCCATTTGTAGCAACAGTGTCATTGTCTCTTTTTATTAAATGAAGAATCGTCCGTCCAATTGGTGAATATTCAGAAATTTCTCGAACGTATGACGTTGGCATGAAGTAAGGTCTGTTGTCATTTACATCAAGAACTATTATTGTTACCAATGCATCTGAACTTCTTCCTTCACTGTTGGTTGCTCTTACAGTGAAACTGTATCTTTGCTTCTCTTCGTAGTCCAATCTAGTTACAACATTTATAGAGCCATCTGAAGCTACAGTGAACGGACTTGTTTCTGATGCAGGTCCAATAATGGAATACGTGACTGAGCTAGATATAGCTTGATTTGTTACAAAAACACTCAACAAAGAATTAACCGTGATCCCTTCATTTACCGACGCTGTATAAGAGGTTTGATTGAATACGGGCTGGCTCAGGTGTGTCAAGTTGGCTGGATGTATGAAAATTGTCAAAGTTATATTTGAGTGCAATTTTGGGTTGCCCATATCTTCAACTTTGACAGTAATGGTGTAGTTGTTCCTCACTTTTGAATCAACGGGACTTTTCAGATACACCCGTCCGTCCATTTCAACTGTAAACTTGTCCATACCATTTCCAGAAACAGCAAAATATCGCAGCATACTGTTTGTGGTAGAATCATTATCAGCGGCTGTTAACGACAGAACCATTGAGCCAATTGATGTTGCTTCTGATATGTTATAAGTTAATTTGGTGTTTGTGAAAACTGGTGTGTTGTCGTTCAGATCAGTCACATAAATTATTACATGTGCTACTCCTGTTCTTTGGCTGTGGCTATCTAGTACTTGTACTGTGAAAGCATAAGATTTTTCCTTTTCATAATCAAAGCTAATCAGACTTCTTATCACGCCTGTCGTGTTGTCGATCGTGAAGAACTTAGACACATTGCTACTTATTATGGTATACACCAGTGGACCACTGATTGGCTCAGCACTTGTTGCGTTAACTTGAAGCAGCATCATATTCACATTGTTATTCTCAGCTACCGTCTTGTAATAGGTGCTAAGGGAAAACACAGGTTGCTGTCTGCTTACATGGAGAACACTGATGACAACCGTTGCTTGAGCAGTTCTCTGTGGTGTTCCATTGTCAGTTGCGTTAATAACCAGTGTGTATGAGGACTGCGAGCTGTACGAGAGAGCTCCATTCAAATAGATTCTTCCGTTGCTGTCAATTCTGAACTTGCTCGTGTCCCCAGAAGCAATGACATATGAGACAATAGTTCCAGCAGCACCGAGGTCATTGTCCAGAGCATGCAGTGGCAGGACCAAACTTCCGACCTGGGAGACTTCAGATATTGAGATGTTGTAGAATGAGTTGACGAAATATGGATTGTTGTCGTTCAAATTGGTAATGATGAGACGAATCAATTTTGTAGTAGTAAGATGAGGTGTTCCTTGATCTTGAGCCACAGCAATCAATTCATAAGATTGCACCTTTTCATAGTCGAGATATGAACTGTTGTCAACTTGTAATGCCCCAGTAGCTGCATTGACTGTAAGAATGCCAGTGGGGTATACCCCAACATAACGTATTTGGGCATTGACACCACTATCTGCATCAGTGGCATTGAGCATACCAACAGAGCTTCCACTCGCAGTGTTCTCTGCAACTGTGATGTTCTCTGGGGTAGGGGCAACGAAGATTGGATGGTTGTCATTATAATCGAGTACCATCAGTTGAATATTTGCTGTTGCTGACAGCTTTGGAGATCCTCCATCCTCAACTTGCACTGTAAAAGTGTATAGCCTAACTGTCTCATAATCAAGCAGCGCTTTAGTGTAGATGCGTCCCTCTTGAGTGATGAAAAAGAGGTTCTGTTCTGAGGCTGACAGTATGAGACTGAAAGTCAATTGGCCGTTGACCCCTGTATCATTATCTGCGGCATGTACGACATGTACAAGAGAATAAGCAGGGACTGATTCGGAAATATTCCAAGAATACATGCCATTTTGAGTATATAAGAAATATGGTGCTTCATTGACATCTCTGACAATTATGGTCACATGAGTGTATGCCACGACACCATAGTTATTCGTAGTGCGAACTGTGAAGTCATATTGATGTTTCAATTCAAAGTTGGTCGTTCTATTCATGTAAATGACACCACTGTTTTCTGCTAAGTGGAAAATACCTTGAATTTGGTTCAGATTGGCAACCACGAGTACAAAAAGTATGTGCTTGTGATATTACCGGTATCGACAGCAGATATTCGTCCGACCTCAGAAACGTGTACGGTTTCATTGACGTAAAAGATATAATGACGCTGTGTAAAGTCAATGAGAGATTTTGGTGTTTGTGTGACGTTGATGTATACCAAAATTGCTGCGCTTAGTTGAGGGACTCCTTTGTCTTGCACTGTGATATTCAAGACGTAGGAATTTGTGATGGCCAGATCCAGTGTCTTGGCTAACGTAATCACTCCATTGTTATTGATAGAGAAGGTGTTGCTCGCGTCGCCACCAACAATTGAATATTGAAGCTGAGCATTGATACCGCTATCTTTGTCCGTAGAAAATACAGTCAAAACTTGCCCACCAATTTTCATATCCACTGAGATGTTGACCCGGTAGACCGCCATATCCGGAGATGGCTGATTATCATTGACATCTGAAATCTTGATTACTACAAGACATCTTCCTTTGAGCACATTGCTACCAGTATCACGTGCTTCGACTTCGAATGAGTAAGATCTGACTGCTTCGTAATCAAAGCTTTGCTTCGAAGTAATCACACCAGTTGTTGAGTTGACGCTGAAGTTGCCAGAATCGGTTGCGGAAACGATTTGATAGTACAAATTAGAGTTTATTGTGGTTCCATCTCTGTCAGCTGCATGAACTCTTAAAAGTGATGTGTCGATTGCTGTATTCTCAGGAATAGTTGTTCTGTACTCGTTCAAATCGAATACAGGCTGATTATCGTTAACATCAAATACTCGGATAAAGACAATTGCGTTGGAAGCTGCCTTCAATCCACCTTTGTCTTGAACAGATATGGTCAAAGTGTAGTTCTTCTCTGCGCCTATAAAGAAACAAAGTTGCATTATTGAGTGAATTTGGTGATAGCAGCGCAAGAATTGCCAATCATCAGAACAAAAGATTTGAAAATGAAAAGTCATATCGATGAAGAATTAATTGAGAATTAAAAGAACTGACAAAAAATTCAACAAGCTGATTGCAAAAGTGACCATAACAAAGCGGAAATGCTATGTAATGCCATAATTTGGCAAAATTTCCTCCTTTGATTATTCTAAAGGATGCTTATATAAAACAACAACTTTCAAAAGTTTTAAATTGTTTTCTCAAACAGAATGATGGATAAAGATCATACTCTCATAATCAAGGCTCCCGTTAATTGAGATGACGCCGGTATCGGCGTTGATCTGAAATCTTTGAAGGTTGTTTCCAGAAACGATGCTGTAAACAAGCTGTCCGTTAACTCCAGTGTCAACATCACTGGCCCTAATAGTTGTTATCTGCAAGCCAATGAGGGCCGCTTCTGAGATGTTGATGCTGTATAAAACCGGTGAAATAACTGGTGCGTTGTCATTAATGTCAGTGATGATTATATCAACCAGAGCCCTGTTTTGTCTCCACGGCATTCCGTTATCTTGAGCAATGACAACCAATGAATATTGGGACTTTCGTTCGTAGTCAATACTGTTAACCGTGATCGCACCAGTGTTTTGATTGAGGTTGAAATCTGTCGTGTTGTCAAGTGATGTGTATGTTATACGGTTGTTTGCAGCTGAACCGTCAGCATCTGTAGCCAAAACTTGCAAAAACACATACGAATTGTTTGTGTTTTCCGGTATTGTCACCCTATAGTATGATGGGTTGAAGATTGGGTTGTTGTCATTGATGTCTGAGATGTTCACATTAATAGTTGCATTTGTTGTTGAGTAATGCATGCCATCAAAAGCCCGCACAATTATAGAGTACATTTGTGTAGTCTCGTAGTCTAGAGACTTGGCTACAACAAGAACATTCGACATTGACGAATGCAACTTAAAGTCATTATTCACATTTCCACCAACAATTTCATATGATAATTGACTGGAACTTGTATCATTGTCACGTGCAGTTAAGATCATCACAACATTGTCCACGTTAATGGCTTCTGGGATGGTTGCTGAGTAAACACTGGGAACAAAATACGGAGCATTGTCATTGGAATCAATCACACGGACTTCTACTGATGCATGTCCACGCAGCTGCACAGTTCCAGCATCAGTTGCTACGACAACAAAATGGTGGACTTTGTCTTGTTCATAATCAAGTGGTTTAGCAAGACTTATAGCGCCAGTGCTTGAATTAATACTAAAAAAAAGGGATGAATCATTCAAACCAGAATTGAAGATTGAGTAAGTAATTGCTGCATTGCTGCCGATGTCCAAATCGCTGGCTTGAACTGAAACGATAAAAGAGCTAATAGTTGTGTTCTCTGGAACTGATACAATGTAGGTGGATTGGCTGAATATTGGTCTGTTGTCATTCTCGTCACTAATGTTAATAATGACTGTAGTACTTGCAGAATTTGCACCATCAGAAAGAGACACGGATAAGGTATAGGATGTTATATTCTCCCTGTCTAGGCCATTTTTCACATAAAGTGAACCAGACGATGAATCGATAAGAAAGTCGCTTTTTGGGGATTGTGACGAAATAGTGTATTGTAAAGCCTTTGTGTCGTTGTCGTAGCCAAACAGGTGTAAAACCATTGCACCAGGTCTGGAGAATTCAGACACCGTTACATTGTATGTGGCAGGCATGAAATATGGCAGCTCGTCATTGATATCTTGCACATAGACAATAACATTGGTATGGCGTTGATAAGGTACCGTTCCGTTGTCTGTAGCGATGACAGAGAAATGGTATTCTTTAACTTTCTCGTAATCTAAAGAGCTTTTCAATGTTATAACACCAGTTACTGGGTTGATTGCAAAGGTGCTGTTGGCCAACGTTTGGTTGATGCTAAAAGTAAGATTACTGTGCTTTGAAGTGCCGTCACCGTCAACAGCCTTGACTTGAACAACAAATGTTGATGTAGCGCTAGTTTCTGGTAGAGAAGCGGTGTAAAGTGATTTCTCAAAATGTGCATAGTTGTCGTTTATATCAACAATATTGATGGTTACTGTTGCATTATTGCTGGATTGAAGGAGAGGACTCCCCATATCCCGAAGGCCAATGAGAAGTGTGAAAGTTTTAGTCTTTTCATAGTCGAGTGCGGTAACCAGTGTGATCACTCCGTTTTGGGAGTTAATAGCAAAGTGTCCTGCAGCATTCCCATCTAAGATGCTGTATACAAGTGTTGAGTTCAGCCCAAGATCAGGGTCTGAAGCGAACACCTGAACCAACGAACTGCTAACGAGGGTATTTTCTACAATGTCAAGAGAGTATGAGCTTGGATTGAATCTTGGTTGGTTATCATTGACATCTGTGACGTTCAGCACAATTTCAGCCACAGAAGAAAAGAGTGGGTCACGAGCCTGAACAATGATGATGTAGCGGTCTTCTTGCTCCCTGTCTAGAGCTTTCTGCAGCGTAATCTGCCCAGTTGTTTTGTTGATTGCAAAGTATGAAGAAGACAGATTGCTCACGATACTGTAATTCACCATTCCAAATGCACCTGAGTCGCGATCAACCGCTGTGACAGTGATAACATGGCTCCCAACAGCCAGATCCTCTGGCACCGGCTGTTGAATCAATGCTGGAGTAAACACTGGACCGTTATCGTTAACATCAATAACGGTTATATTGAAAGTTATAGTGGTATTGCGTGCATCTGCCTCTTCCGTGTTAACAGCTGTAATTGAAAGTTGATAGAATGACTTCTTTTCGTAGTCCAGGGGTCGTGTGGTTGTCAACCGTACACTTGTTGTTGACGCACTGCTGAACTGAAGATCTCCATCTGGATCACCTGTAACCAACAAATTTAACATCAGGTAGAAAAATTTTTACGTTTGACGTACGGAAATCTTCATACGATAAATCACATACGTAGTATGAGATAACTTTATAAAACACAGTGAAGGAGAAGATGTCACAAATAGCTGAAAAAATCAGTATATTTCTCTGAATTGGTTGAAAATATGTTTCCAATCTAAAGTTTAAAAGTATTACCATCCTGCTATCAACTTTCTACCTCTTCTGCATATTATGAAAATGGAGTTAATGCACAAGGCAAGAAATAAGCAACAAACCTGCAACAATACTGGCAGCAACAAGTGCCTTTTGGCCAATAGCAAATTTATCAGCAGAAACGATGAATGACTGAACCAAGGTCCCAGAGAGCAGATTCTCTTGAATCGTGACGCTGTGTGAGGCAGCAGTTATTTGAGGGGTTGGATCTGAAATGAAAAGCAGATAGATAAAAAATTAAGCGGTTAACTTATCAAAAGACATCAAATAGTTTAAATAGGATATTCCTTCTTTATGTTTTCGTTTTAGACCTAATAAGGCAGAATTAACCATGTCACAAATAATGACAATCAATTTACTCAGGGGCATCCAGTCTGCGAGAAACACATGCAGAGTGCCGAATAGTCACCAAAACACTTTCGTTTACAACCAGTCTTCAATGTGATCTGTGAAGCCCCCTATAACAATAAATGAGTTGTCTTACCGTAAACGCTCAGTGTTGCATTGTTAGTTGTTGCTGTCAAAGTTCTATACGAGGCCCTGCATGCATAATTGCCTGAATCACTCAGTGAAGTTGGAGTAATTGTTAGGGTGGCGCCGGTTGCTCCTGAAATGAGCTGCAAATGAAGGAACGACATAAAAATGCGCTACCGTTGAGGATTCTGGCTCGTTTTTTTATTTAATTGAAAGTAAATTTGACTATTATATCAGAAAAGTAGTAAAATTTCCAATTTTGAAGAATTATGGATTCTAAAATTACTTTCAATAAAAGTATAAAATTAGTTCTAATATATTTCCTTAACAAATATCTCTAAAAATAAAAAGATTGACCATTTAGCTTTCACAGACGCATGTTAAAAACGATTTGAAAAGACGTTAACCAGGTTGTTTTTTTAGCATAAGGTCATCGTCATAAGACATGTTTCGCTTAATGTTAATTGTGGAGACTAATGGGAAAAAATTTTGTTATTAAAACTATTTGATTCATTGTACCAAGAAAAGAAAATATTGCAAATGAAGAAAAAACTTAAGGCCAATATTTGAACAAAACAAAATGCGAAGAATGAACAAGAGTTTTTATCATCATCGTCAGGGTTTGGAAGTATCTTTGTTGGATTTTAATGTTTATATACTTTTCCAAACCACATTATTCTGTGAAAAATTCAATTACATTTCCAGAATAAGTATTTCGAAGTAAGGCATTTACTTGTTAATAGTATTTATCCAACCCTTGGTATTTACATCTACATTTCAAAATAAGAGCATATAATTATGTATATAAGACCAAGGGTCACTTTAAAGATAGGTTAAACGTCGCAAGAGGAACTTACCACTACGTTTTCGTACCAAGTCATCTTGCAAATCCGCATAGCCAGTATTCATATTTAAAGGTACATTTCAATCACAAGAATATACAATTAGATTTACAACTTACCACTCCATTTTTGTACCAAGTCAGAGAGGCCGGAATGTTTCCAACCACCGAGCAAGTAAAAGTTGCAGTTTTCTCGGTGCTGATTCTGAGGGAGGCTGGATTAAGAGCTTCTAAATTCAATCCAGTATCTTCGCACAAAACTGGGCCTGTGTTGTCATCTGCATACGAAAATACATCGTATATTAGAAATACACTTGCTTTTGCTCGATGCAAATAAAAAATGGCAAACAATTGCAAGAGAAGCATAGTATTCACTGATCGACTGGCAAAACTACCTCACTTTACAAATCACTACCTCACACTACTCAATTAAGAGATCTATAAAGTATGACGTTGGTAATGGCACTCCTAAATGTATTAATGCCAAAGAAATAGGTCGCATTTTGATAAGCGCATCATATTATGATGCGTTTTGGACAAAAAATTAACAATACACACCAAATGGTTATATGTTCCCTGTTGTCCATAACAAAATTTACTAAAATATTGGTTATAATGATGAAAAAGTATGCAAACTGCATGAATCTCCATTTGGCAATAAGGAGGTGCTAGCATGAAGTACTACAATATTTACCCGGACATAATGATTACGTCACAAAGTCTAGGTATTGACTTAGACGAGAGACAGGATTTGGGGACCAAAAGGAAGCACAACCTTCTATGGTGCAAATACTGCAGAAACTCACCGATTAAAACAAACGTCAAGGTACTGTTAGCAGCAATTTCAAATGAAGCATCGTCATCAGCCGAGATCATAGTTTGGACTCTCGAAAAACGAGGCAAAAACATGCTGCTGGAAAAGGACAAGGTTTCTTCACTGTTTCCAGGGATTGTCTCAATTGACTGTAAGCTTACGGCGGTATCTGTTTGGTTATCCAGCTTTACATACATGTGGAATCTCCTACAATCAAAATGATAAAATGTGACCTACACGTATATGCAAAAACACGTATATGCCAAATAATATGTGCTATACTTGAGCTGCAGTTAAAAAGATGGTTTTAGGTTTTTGATATAAATAACTATAGGAATTCTCCTTAAAATTAAATTCCGTGCACGTAAACGAGCGCTTCGCTACCAAGTGACTCCGGAGTAATTTCCATTTGACCTCCAGAGCAAAGTCATTTTCACTCCGCTAATCAGTATACTGGATTGGTATGGCGTAGTGTAACTCAAACCAAGATCCGATGTGAAAGTCGCTCCGCTCCGATAACAATCCGGTATAATGTAATTGGAACCTCAGTCCTGCTACTGTTATTTTGCTAAAGCAAATTGTTATGTTTCAGTCCTATGATTGGAAAACTGGCGAATAAGAAAAAAAGCATGTAAAGACCTGTCTCCACTTTGCGTGTTTTTGACCACGATGTTCGTTGTATATAAGAAAACACCAGCGTGAAAATTGATAAGCACCCCAGATGCGTCCATTGTTTCATTCTGTGGTAAAAATGATCCTGCCTTCGTGGTTACAAAGTTCCTTAGCTGATATGGCGTCAATTTTGTGCCTGAGACGGTTTCCGTAGATGGTAAATGTGCAGCAACACCTTCAGTGTTAGATGTGATGTCTGGAGCAGAAAAAAATCCAAGTGAATATCAAAACTCATAAAATTCGTGTAAAATTCATCTGAGGGAAGAAATATGTATGCAGAGCGGTAGCAGCTACAATATTAGCGCTCCCCAAACAAATTATGAAAATCCCTTGTTTTCCACAAAAATTATATTTGTCTCTACTGCTCTCAGACAATGTTGCCCCTCAATGGTTTGAAAACTGAAAATCATCACATTCATCATCCTTGAAACAACTAATTTTTAAAAAGAAAAGAGAGAAGAGCATGCGGGGATAAAAAATGCTCAATGCTGATGGTAGTATAGCCTTCGATACTGACACAGCTCTCATTTAAACAACCCATAGTTTCACTCGAGGTTATCAATTGGCTCACGTTCAAAACAGAAATCGGAAATCAAAGAAGCATATTTGAAAATCTTAGAAGATTCAGAAATAAAGTGTCAATCTCCAGAACCTTGTAATCTGAGAATCTGTTCGTTCTTGGAAAGTGAAGTTTTCGAAATCTGAGAACAGGAAGACTTCTACTTTTCTGGTAGTTAACAAAAAAATGAATAATATAGCTAACCCGAAGTGTTTGTTGTATCTAAAGCAGTTAGTGAAATGATGAATTTTAAACAAAATAATGCCTACCATTAACGAATACAAGTGATCTTGTGGTCTCCCTGGTAAGTCTCAAATTTGGCAAAGTGCTTTGGACTCTGTAAGAAACAACATCTCCAACTTTCAGATTCAGTGTTCCGGAAACTGGCAATGATTTTACTTGCTCGTTTATTTTGTGCTGGTAGGAAGCATAGAGAGATATCTCTGAATTGATGTAGATTGCTACCTGTATGTCGTATGCAGAAACTATACGACTGAAAATAGGAACAAAGCTAACAAAATGTAGGCCAGCCTTAATTGCAGTGTAGGAATCAGGCTGAGACGGTGATACTGTGGAGAAGCCAGATGCGTAGCCGCTTGCATTCCAGCCAGTAACAGCTGTCCACGAGTTAGCGGTGGTCAGAGTGAATTCACTTGCAAGTGGCCCACCAAAACCAATGACACGATCCACTGGGTTGACGAAGTAGAGAGACCATCCAGCTTGCATAGGATAACTCCCAGTAATTGAAGTGTTCAGCAGATGCTGATAAACCTGACTGCTATTCAAAAATAAGGCTGAAGTAGCAAGCTTGGTCCTATTGTAACCTTCAGAGCCATACGCTGTGAAAACATTCGAATTGTCCATAGTTATCAAAGACACACTGCTGTTGCCAGTTACTGAAGCAAGGTAGTTGTTGATGGAGGCGATGTACACACCAGCAAAGGGAGGAGTGTATGTTCCATATGATGCATTGAACCCAATGTTGCTGCAAGTAAAAACTTTCTTAGTTGCTTCTCAAAATGAATTATGAGTGAGCAATGAATTTGTAAAGGAGGATAATACCTGTTTAAAATAAGAGATGAAGATGAACAATCCTTAGAGTTTCAATGAATGCGTACAGTCCTTTTCTTCTGGGATTGTATATATATTACAGTTTTTTTGGTAATTTTCAAAAGGAAACCTTTCCTTATGTGAAAAACATCTTGCTTTAGTTCAAGCTTGAGTGGAGCATTTCAACCAAAGGTCTTGGTAGAAAAACTTGGTAGAATAGAAATATGACTGACTGCTAAATAAATTGACTTATGCTGATTGCTATACAGAGACTATTACTACGTATGACTGCAGTATCACAATTTTTATAACAAGAAATATCATATCTCCAAGTAAAATATTTGGGAGCACTAAAACGTGTAAGCGCATATGAAAAAGCTTTTTTTGGATGTAATTTTGGATGAAAATAATAGTCTGAGCTTATTACCTGGTAAAGAGACCTGGCTTTCCAGTTTCTTCCCATGATCTTAGTATTTCGTTTGACTGATACATCGACTCAATTTTGTCCACAACTATTCCAGGAAATCGTTGATCAAGTTGTAGCTTCACAATTGCAAAACTAGAACCACTGTCGATGGTAAAGGAGGACTTTGAAGTCCGCACCATTGCTCTGATCACCTGACCTGAGGTCAGGTACACTGTGCCTGCAAAGTTCAAATTGTATTTTCTTCCCTTTGGAGAGCCGTCGATAGAATACATGCCGTATGTAACAGACGATTGACTGTCAATTTCTGTATGAACTTCGAAAGCAGTTCCACCCCCAGCATTATCCAAACGGAAGTTTCCAAAAACGTAGTACAGCCCTGGTTCCGAAACGGAGAAATAGGCCTCTGGTGTCTTCGTAAGGGTAGGTCCAATCGTGTATCTACCAGGCAGGGCACTGTCTTGAATATCAACCAAACCTGTCCAAACATTAACGGAGCTTGCACCTAAGAAGGAGGCGACATTTTTAGATGCCATGAAACCTGCATTGTGTTCGTTTGAATAGAGAGATGCCATCACCACTGAGAAACCACTTTTCTTCGATATCGTGAAGCTGCTGTCTCCTGACGTCACATACATAGAGAAGTAGCTGCCTTTTGTCATTCGCACGCCACCACTAAAGCTAAGAGTGAAGTAGTCTCTTGTACTGCTCGCAAGAGAGGGCATCATGTCAGACAAACCTAGCCGATTTGCTTGAATTCCATTGACGTAACCCTGAAGATCAAATTCTGCATCACCATTTGAACTACCGGGCATAGACACATTTTGTAAGTAGATATTTGCTGATACAATGTAAATGGCGTCATGTTCAGCTGTAAATTGGGCAGCGGAGAAGCCTTGAGTGTTTGAGTAGGTCATTGTGGTACTGGAGCTATTTGTGGTCCATCCGGTTACTTGGACCTGTCCGCTTGAGGCCGGAATGTCTTCAGCAAGGACCGCATGAAACCCTAATGCTGCCCAGTTGGGTCCTATGTACGTTATTGAATATCCACTGTCCACGTCAACCTCCCAGGTGGATGAGCTGCTTTTGTATGCGTATAATGTGAGGACATCACCAGTTTTGACACTGATAGTTCCATACAGATTCAACGTTGCTGCCGAGGACGGCTGCCCATTTACAACATGCAATCCATTGTTTACGTCAATAACCCCGTTTTTTACTAACAACAAAGCAATTTCTGCATTATCGCCATTATTAATTTGGATGTTTGCTGATATCATATAAACACCTTGTTGTGAAGCAGTAAACCTTCCAGTCGAAGGGCTGAAATCTGTTCCATATGAAAACTTTCCGCGGGTCTCTGTCAACCAGGGTCCAGTCAGTGGAACCCAGCCGGATTTTTGGATGGTCATTTTTGTTTGTATTCTGGCACCAAAAGCAGAGACAACATAGCGCATCCGTACAAAGGAAACGAATGATGTATTATGAATCTTCACGGAGTTGCTTGCTTTTACAAAAATACTCAAATGCTCCTGCTTACGTATCTGGAAAATACCGCCAAGTGACATAGACCCAGTTTGCTGAGCTTGTTTAGTAAATGTTCCGTAAACACCCTCTTTACCTGTTTTTGACAAAAAAAATTACAATAGGAATTACATAATAAAAATAATTAATTCAATTTACAAATCTTAGGCTTATCTCAACTACCCATCTGACTTTGCTGTAAGAAGCTATTTTGCAAAACTTAGGGTCAGTGCCCATATCCGCCAAATTGAAAAAGTGTGTTTCAGTGAAAAACAAAACACCAAGAGACGAAAGATTTTGCTTATAGTACAAAACCAACATTATTTTAACAGTTGAAAATGAATCCATTTTCCCCTATGTTGCCAACTTTTTAAGGAAGAAAGACAAAAATTTCTAGAACAATTTTTAGAACTACCTCTTTAAACGAAAAGTATATGTACATTTGGCTTATGACGCAAGAGGATCATGTTAATACCAAAACCTTGGGAACTTTTTGCAAAAAGGCCTTTGAGAATTGATCAAGCTTTTGTGTGATTTTTGAGTTAATTAGCTTAAAACTTTGTAGCTGAGAACTTCTTGTAACTTCTTATATCAGAATAATCGCTTGTCTCTTAGTTGTTAACGTTCTCATAGTGTCTAACTAGCCGTTACTTTGTTTGTTGTACGCTGTAGAATTAAGGTAAAGTTAAAGGCCATTTCGGCCTATATACTTGATAGGCAATTATTTACGTCAATTATTTTCGGAAAAATATAGGCAATTATTTACGTCAAAACCGTAAAAAGCCGTGGCTTTTATGGAGCTATTTCTAAGCAAATATTGAATACATAATCTTCTTTCAATCAAGGTATTCAAGCGACAACCTGCTTGCTGCATTTGCATAAGAATTTTTCATGTTTTCAGTGCGATCGTCTTGAAGATCGTGATCCAAGAAATCAAATTGCATTAGTAAAATATTAGCATTTATAATTGCACAAAAGATGCACAGGAATCGGCCTAAAACATGCATCACATACCCGTAGATGTGGATTTATCTGCACTGACAGCTATCATTGATTCTATGTTTGTAGCATTGCCAGAGTACACCAAATGTACAAATGCAAAATACAAGTCAGTTTGTTCTGTCATAACAAAGTTCTGCGTGCTGATCAAATTGAGATTTGATGGCTGAATAAACTGCCCAGTGTCGCTCCCATCAGCCGCCTGTGTTGCGCTTGTCCTAAGTAAACCAGGCAACTCATTCCAACTCCCACCTGCCTGATCTACTGTGGTCTGTAAGAAGCTGGAAAACTCAGGGATGTTGGTGGATGTACCACCAATAAAGGCCATCGACCATGTGCTGTGACTATAAATTTTAACAGAGCCTGCGGTTGAAGTTACCGTTAAGTAGACACTGGCAGCTTTTGGAATGAAGAAGGCTTGATAAACGTTTAGAGTTGCAATCCCTTTCTTTTGAAGAACCACTGTTCCAAGAATCGACTGCTTGCCATTGAAAACTGTGGCGACACTGTAAGTTCCCGCATTTCCTTCAAATATGATGTTTGCAGCCAATATATTAACTCCAGAGCAAACTGCAGTGAATTTGCCAGTTGTAGCTGATAGTCCTGCGAAAAAGAGACAGAAAGTTAAGTTAAGGCACTATGCGCCCGCTGCATTTCAACTTCCCAGTGGTTGGAATATACAATAGACCTATTGTTGCGCATTCAATCAGCTACGCAATGTAAGACTAATTATCAACTGCATACATCCATACAAGAATTGAAGAGGCAGACATGCAATGAGACAATATTAATCTTTTGGCTCTTCTTTATTTTCAGAAGTAGCACACAATTTTTTTATATAACTAACACTTGAATCGATATTATTTCGCAAAAAACACAATTAAACATAAAATTACAACCAAGACAGGAATTTCCTTACCAGTAAGACTCTGAAAAAGTCCAGCACGACCGACTTTTGTCCAGGAAGGAACATGATACCCAGACGGACTTGACAAATCCTGAGTTGCTTGGGGATTGACAAGGAATGCAGGCGAAGAGCCATAGTTGCCAAAGAAATGGAATGTCAAAGTTGCTTGTGACTTGATGGTCCAAGAGGTGTCTGTCGATGCGTATGCATGAATGGCAACATTTTCTCCCGCCCTGAGGCTGATGAAACCAGCAAAGCCAAGCATTTGGGTGCCAGCAGTTGTATTTTCCATTTCACACTGCAATCCTATTTCTTTCTCTACAGTTATACCGTTGATTAGTAGAGCAGCTCTGAATTTGCCTGCAAGAGGATAGTTAGAAACATATCAGCATTGAAATATTCCAAACCAAACATGCAAATTACGTAACTGGTATGATTATCAAAGCTGATAAGCAGATTTATTATTTTGAGAGAAATAAATCAATATAAAAATCAATAGAGAACGAAAGAAATGATTCAAAGCAAAGATTTTCCTTTTTGCTAGGGAGACGAGCAAAATAGTGGCCTACAATAAGTGAAGCAACCCTCCGTCCTGGAATCAAAGAGCACGCGCGTGGAAGAAAGTCATTATTATGCTATTTGACTGTAGGACGTAAGATTGCCTTACTCATTCAAAGATTTTCGCTCCTCCGTCTTCCTAACAATTTGGCGTTTTATAGGTTTTATGGCAGAGCCGTAGTTGGGCTAAGTCTTCCCGGGTTCTTGAGTGTTACATTAAAAGCTGAATATTTCTACACGATGGGAGTGGATATATGAATATTTAAAACTCTGCACTCTGCCATATGACAGAATTCTTCGCAGTTCTAGGCTCGTAGACAAATAAATTTGTGCTTGCCTTCTCAACCGAATAAATTCTCAAATGGATAAATAAACAATTGTTCATCTGGAATTAAACATCATGCAAATAGAGATGATTTTCCATCCATTGAACATATTTTGCTAAAAGAGCTTGGTTTTTTCAAGTAAAAGCTAGTGACAAAACCAAACCCTTCTAATCTGGATCCAGCACCTGGGTAGAACCGGCAAAGTTGAGTGGAGAGTTGGATGTAGCAATATTATCAATAAGGCAAATATGTTCTGTTTTATTCTGGAAATTTGAATAAGTCTAACAGGTTCTGATTTGTGTAGTGCTGTCAAAAGAACAAGGGTGACTTCGCTTGAAATTTCACAAAAATAAATTAGGGACTTTTTAAATTGGACCCAATTTGGTATTCACAACAGGGCTGAGCCCCGGAGTCCTCTAGCACCAAACCCTTGTCGATATTATGATACATTCTTAACTTATTGAATGAAATATGGATTAAAAATATCTAGCGTCTTCTCATTATTATAGCGAAGAATGAAACAATACAAGGTACCTCTGATTAAAGAAGTAAAAAGGAATTTATTCAACATGTGGTAATGATTTTGGCTAATACTCTACGTTCTTGCTCAGCCAAGTGAGAAGGCTAAGAATTGAAAAAAAATTGTGGTCATAGAGGAATGACCGAACCATACATTTTAGACCCTAGCTCAGTGTGACTTTTCCGTGGGGTATCTTTTAAATCTGTTTATCTCATGATGAGCTTACATAACTTGTTTTATGAGAAATTACGCTAAATTTTATGAGAAGTCTGCAATGCCGAGCCAGCTACGTTAAAGGTCGGTTTCTTTGTGCCGACCTTGTTTTCTTCCATAGTCGGCATGCCAGGAATAAAAAAGAACTGAGCATTTGATACTTCATGCCTTTTAGAGCTCGCAATCCTTGATCAATGTTCTTTTGCATTTAAAAGTTTCTTTTGTTGTAGAACGGCTAAAACAGACTTTACTTCGGTCTACCTCTTTCCCTTCTTTATTTGTATGGAGTCTTTGAGAAGATAAATTTCGTTAATATTGTTCATTTTATTATGGTTCAAGCAAGCCAGATTTATATTGCCGACGAATAGACTCGCCTACACCGGTATTGCCGCCTTTGTATTCTCCGAAATCGACAAAATTCAGCGCATTAGTGCCGACTGCCTGCTCTATATGAATAACATGTAACTCTGATGGGTGATGATGTAGAGCTCTTGGCAAGTTGTTCGGCACACTTGGCACATCCTACTTAAACCTTAAAAGAAGGGTTGAAAATATCTTCCAAACTAATAAAAAAGTGTCAAAATAAATGTTTCAAAAAGATGATAGAAAACAACTTTTAATATCTAATAACATATCAACTTTTCGTTTATGGATATTGAATCTTGAAATATAATTGTGTTGCAACGCTTTAATTGCAAATCAGGACACACTTGTGGCAAACATAAGTTTTTAGAAATATCATACTTGCAAAAGCAAGGTAAGAAATTGTATGGTGTGATGACTTCCCAATAGTTTTTGTTGTTGTAGCCACTTAATGAACACGGTTAAGTATGCGATAGAAATTAGATTGGAATTGAATGAGATCAGAGAAAACATAGAATAAGTACGGATTGAAGTTGGAATCTAAACTAGAATTTACGTTATGATTACGTTATAATTTACGTATCAAAGTTATACAGTCCTCTATTTGAATTAGAAATGAAGCCTAAACAATAAATTGTCTTTCTTATACTGTATCTGTAGTACTGAACTTGAGCCATCAGCATATAGCAATTTTGCATAGGCTATAAATATTTTTGAAACAAGATACAATATTATGTTGCTGTCAACATATTTACAAAGGCAATAAACCCATTTAAAGAAACTCACCTGTATCAGCATTAGTAACTGGAATAGTTACTGAGACGAAGAAGATACCAGAAACATAAACACTTATATCTCCATTGCTCATGTAATCAGCATCGAAATTGTACAAGCCTTTGACATCTGTCAAAGTTGTCGTCCATCCTGACAGCTTTTTCCATCCAGAAGATGTGTGAGTTATATCTGACGATAATTTGCTCAGAAATCCAATTTCAGGGTAGCCTAGAGAAAAGGAAATACTTCACGTTATCTTAGTAGCTCGTGCAAAGTTGTAGAGTGTTCAAAGGGCAGTGGGTCATGGCCTCTCGGAAAAAGATCAGAGAGACAGGTAATAGACTCAAAATGCATATTTCAGGCTTACCCTTCTAATAAAATGCTTATACTTCTGGAGGATGACCGTTGAATTTTCTGACTTAAATCGTTATATTATTTCCGCCTTTTTCAAGAGTTACGGTTTGTCTTGTCTATCACCTTGTAAAGAAAGGCCGGAGGAAAGCACCACCCGCGGAGGGGAGAGGGGTACTCTGGAACATTTGGGAAAGGGATGCTCAGGGTAATGTTTTTGGGTTATTGTTTTGGGTTAAACAAATTTTTTTAGCTTAGTCAAATTTTTAAATACTTTTGTGAGTTCTTGAAATGCTGGAGCAGTTTTAGGTCTCAAAGTCTAGAGAACGTGAAAAAGTCGATTTTATAGACAAAATGAAAAATGGTACATTCTGGAAATCAAAATTCACCAACTACAAAATGCTTTTTTGCATATTACGCACAAATTTTTATTTTCTTTGCTGCCAGTTGTGACAGGCCTGGCTGATTTCAGGCAGGGATGTTTCAACACGATGCGTTTAAAGGGTATGACAAGAAAAAGATAGAAATCAACAAATAATCATTCAAAACAATATTTTCAAGGGATATATATTGGTTAATTTTATTGCAATATTTTGGACTTGTGAGGTCTTCTCTTTTTTAATTGTAAATTTTCTCGCTGACAAACTTTGCTTATTGTTTTCGAACTGCTTTGTCAGCATTTTTCTCGTTCTATGATTCAAATATGCAGTAAAATTGAAATAATCCACGATATTCTAAGTTAAGATATCCCAAGCAGCCCCACAACGTAGCGTGCTATCCCACGTGCAACTAACTACAAGGCGGTCAAACTTATATTCAAATGCGGAAGGCGGTTAAACAAATTTCAATTAAAGGCATTTTCAGATTAAACTTGTTGCGCAAGGCTCAATAAGTTCAAAGAATTTCGAGTTTTGTATCCATAACTATCTTTTGCCAGGTCGCTGCTCTAAGAAGAAACACCTACACATACCTATTGTCTTTTCAAGCTTATCCGATTAACGCGCTTGGGATAAAGGAGGTGTTGGCAAAACAAAGCGGCCTTCTTCCATAAATTACTTTGTACACTCTTGGGAAATAACTAGTTGGATTTGACTTTTTGATTGGATTTCAGATGAGATCAAGTGTAGGAAATCAGTGGGAAAAGCAGGAATGTAGAACGGATCATTCATTTTAATATAAATTTGAAAAATTTGAGAACGATAACACGAGATTTTCAGCGTTTTACAGTATCGTGAATCAAGGACAATGTTCATCCGTCCTTTGGCCAATCAACGGAATCTTTCGAAACTAAGGGTTTGAGCGTGGTATCTTAATGCTTTTGGTTTTAATGTAAAACACATCATGAAAATCTCGTGGAAATCCGATTGCTTTATTTGCAAAATCCCTGGAAATCATTTTATTTTTGTGAAAATCTAGTACCCTCTTTGCAGGAGTGAATTTCCCTGGATGTAACTCCTATTGTACTTGCTTTGCAGATGAGCAAAAAACTCTTAAAGTCCCTAACAAAAACAAGAACCATAGGAATCACATTCTGAATGACGTCACCGCGTCCTCTGTCATGTTTTTCGACCCAGGCCCCAGAAAAGCTTGCGACTAACTACTTGGTGCCAAAAGCTGGTGTTTTTTTAATATAATCAAGTACCTAATTCTCGGCAGCCCAACTACTGTTTGTTTCCTCTGAGTTCTTTCTTGGCTCTTAGCAAGTTGTCAGCACGCTTTTCAAAATTAAGATAGTGTTCTACACCTAATGAAATTCTTTTTAATAGGTCACTTTGTAGAGCTTTTTGATAAAACTAAAAAAGCCTAAAAAATGGAAAGAAGAGAGGGCAAAAGAATAAAGATGTTTAAGACTTTTTTAGCCGATGTTTGTATATGCAATATAATCATTAATATTTTTCTAAGGACCGCCATTTTTAGTGAATACTTTTTTTAGGAAATGCATATAATAAATCTCCGCGGGAACATCAATGATACACAAGTCACATTTGATGCAAAAGCAAAAGCGTAATCCAAGATATTGTCATAGAATCGGCAAAAAACTCCTATTCAATGATATTGTCCCGGTTGTTTGATGTTTTTTTATTCAGCCGAAACCATCTTAGGGTCTCATTAGTAGCGAAGTAAAACGATGAAACAGGGAGCTATATGATGACCCGAATATTAGCGTCTTCGTGTCGCTTGCTTCTACCCATATTCAATTCTGTCCTACACTATGCCACATTGTCAACAAGGCAAAAGGATGAATACAATAGAAGTAATGACTCAACAAAAGTGCGATAATGGTAGCATAACTTGAAGAAAGGAGTACATCAACCGAAGAGGAGCCAGCTTTCAATATTATTCAAAAGATTAGGGCTAGCTTAATATCATGTAAAATTTTGAAATGACATATTATCAATCAGAAGTAAGAAACAATAGAATAGATCACAATTGGTGTTTTATAAGCCTTGTTTGGTGACTATGCTTTTTTCTGAACCTTCAAGCACAAATATAAAGGGGACATTCTTAACTCAACCGCGTCATTTGAAAACTCTTATCCTCCTATCCCTATTATCATCGAACCATTATCGAATGTTTAAATTCAAAAATTAACCCTAGTTTATTTAATTAATGCTTGCTCATGTTGTATGTTGTCTCTTTTTCTAAATATTGGCTAGTAGAAGACATACATTCAGTGAAAAAGTAAAAAAGCTGGAGCACAATATTCCACTACCGCCAGAAAACCCCCTTTTACCAACAGGGAACGCCAATTACATCCAAAGGGAACGCAGATGACTAATTTTGGGTTACGTACAGGCAGTTTGAAAAGCACAGGATTACTTAACAAAAAGTACGCTGTCAAAATATAACCCTCCCCCAACATTTTCTCGTCGAATTTAGACGAAATGCAAAACAGGTCCTGCCAAGAACTGGGGAGGGGGGGGGCTGCCGCTACTGACTATCAAGATTATCATCATTATTCAAATTTTCTGTCTTAATAATTTTCTGAAAATGATACTTGTGTCACGTAAAATTGACCATTGTAATCTTACGCTACGTTCACACTACTCCGTATTCGTTTCGACCATTGTAGTCTTACTTTCTTGCTCTTGGCATTAGCCACAGATAAGGAATCTAACCATAACTACTGATTGAGACAAGAATTCCAACCAACATCGACAGTGTCTATAAAATACAAATCTCAATTGTATATATATCTCAAAAAAAGACTTTTACCTTTCACTGTAGAAAAGACCACTAACGATACCAAAACCAAAAGAATTCGTGCCATTTTGATTTTTAGGTTGACTTTACTTCGACTTGAAGTTTCTCACACGACGCCCTTCAACATGACGCCCTCGTAAACAAGATAGTGTGTCTCTCCTTCTTACATTAAATTAAAGTTAGTCGAGAGGAGGTGAGGCATAGTAATGGAATTTCTCCTTTCAATTACGTTGGCAAGGAGATTACAAGAACAATAGCGAAACATTCTTTGAACTCTTTAGAAAGATTTTGGCTGAGAATCACTGTTCTTCAATGTCAGTTCAAAAGGGCAGAATATTCCGATTTCCTTTGTTTCTATTTGATATTTAATCTTGAGTAGTCATAACCTACCATGCGTTTCTATGGCTGTTGGAGAGAGTGATAATTGCTTCTAGGTAACATAACTCGCCAATTGTTTGGGGACCTTAGCGAACTCCAAAATTCTTATAGAACTCATAATAAAGGACAACCTGGACAAACTCGAACCAATAAACTGCTTCGTCAGCCCATAGTCTATAGTTTTCAAGATATGAGCAGAAAAAAAGAAGGTAGCCAAGGCGTTTTTCACGTACATTCCTTGGGCTGGGTAGAGCAAGAGAGGTCTGAGCAAGCTGCCCGACAAAATTTCATGCTAAGTATTTCAATAGAGAAAAGTGGAAAATCTTCTAAGAAAGAGAGTTTTAGGGGAATATTGCAACTTCTTTTTTCTAACACTTTATCCATGGTAAATATAAGCAATGATACATAAAACGGTTAAATGCATTGGCGTAGAAGAAAGAGGACGAGAGAGGTGCAGAGCCCTAATCAGGCAACATTTAACGCATCCAGGCTCTATTCGGGCAGTTTTTATCTAAAAAAGCAAATGTATTTGGGCAAGATCCATACTTAGCCCTCCACTTATTAGGGGGTGAATTCATTGTAATACAAATTATGTAAACAGGTTTAAAAAAGGAAGACAGCAGCATACACGAGAAGAGCCAAACACACAAAAATGGTACATCTGAGATTTTACGGTGAGCAAATCACAAAATTTATATACCTTATCTTGGATTGTTTGGATGAAGTCATAAATATGCGTCTAGGGCAGCTTTTAATCTTCAAATATTTCGTTAGATACTTGCCTATTATATACGCAAAAAGAAATTCTCTTTTAAGATCATTTTGTAATGAATTAAACAATTTCGATAAAGTGAATTTTGAGTTCAAGGAATTTTTAATATTTCCATAGGATGATTGATGCTTGGATGGGCTACTAGCAATTTTGTTATGCCGAAAGAAACTAGTAGAAAATTTCTTAGGTTTTTTGTTAATAGCTTGTTAGCAATGAGTCTTTGAAATGCTATGATTTTGTGGAAGAAGGACGACAAATCTAGACAATGAAGTTTTGGTCGCCATGGGAGTCGCCATGGGAGTCGCCATGGGAGACAGTGACGTAAAATTGGTAAGTTCAATGGTTTTCAAGTTATGTAAACCAGCTTGACATTTTTGTCTTATTGGTGAATTCTTATAACCGCGATATTAAACAAAAACTCTCTTGGTAACTGCACTGCATGACGACGTCATATCATTGACACTGAATATTTCGGGATGACAAAATACTAGTTACTCTATAGCAGGGGCGGACTGGCTCCAAATTTAGGGCCCGGGCCAATTCGTCGTGAAAGGGCCCCGAAAATAAAAAATCAGTTTACGGGTATCTCCAAAGTTGTTCGCTGCATCACCTTTTAATACTGGCTTAAAACGTTATTGGAATATTGCTATTAATTCTAACTAGTAACCACCAGGGATGTGGGATGTAGGTGTAAAAGATTTACAAGAGAGATCTACAATCGTTAGTCCAGGTCAGCATCATTTTCCCTGGAACTTTAATTCTGACGTAGGATAAGAGATGAGAGAAAACCATGACATTGCGGGGGGGGGGGGGATTATAGCTTTCTAGCTGAAGGACTTTTGAAGGGGGGCCTCAGTGATAAAAAATGGCGAATGGTATTTAGAGGGGTCAATTTTTTCGATCACCGAGGCTCTGGTACCCAGGGTAGAACTTAATGAAATAAGTTATTCAATAAATATCTAAGTTATTCAAGAAAATCTTGATATGTAATTTTCCGGGCAAAACATAATAGGGGTTGATGTTTTTCCGATCATTGGTTGAGCAGCCAGGTTAATTGATTGTCTGCACAGCAGCCAAGACGGTAACATCAGTAACATAGGCAGGGCTGGCGAAACGTTCATGAAAGTGGGGGAAGGGGCGATATGTTTAGATTTTCTAGGGGTTAAATAAAGGCCACCACCATGGTTAGAAATTCTGACCGAATTCCAGAAAAATTTCGGAAATATGACTTCACAGGGATGGCCAGAAAATGCATCTAGAATATTTGCCACATCAAGTTTGTGTAAGGAAGATTCTGGGCAACATATGTAGGCGTTCATTTACAATAATTTCCCATCCTCTAATAGTTTCCAATTACCAAAAAGCCAAGATCTTCTTCACAACATTTAGACCCTGTCTTGTCTACTGGAGATAGAAAATAAATGTTCTCAGTAAGAAACTTTCAAGAGTAACGAGTCATTCCTTTCTATGTTTAGATATCAATTAATGTCTACATTTCTATGAGCATAAAGCTTGTAATGCATCTGAATCTTCCAGTTGTATCTCTTTTCTTCTTCATCTTTGGTTTACAATTGGAAACATTTAAAACTAATTTATTTTTGCTGGCCCGTTGGGGAGCATGGATAGAAATATAGCTTTTTCTATACCTGCCTTACGAAATACTGTCAGATCAAGCTGCGCTTATAAGATCTTCAAACATAATTTTTGCAAAATATTGGGAGGGGTCATTGCCCCCTGCCTCCAGTGTCTACGGGCCTGTTCTTTTGCAAAGTTCGTCAGGGCAAATCTCGCATGGTTTTCGCCACGTCAGCAAATTTTCGAATAAAAAACTAGGACAGTCAGACCACGCCAGTGGAATTATGCCAAAATTTTTGCGAAGAATTACCACCAAAATTGGCGTATGTACCGATGTTTTATGCCTAACATTTTTGGCGAATCATTCATGTTTTATACTGGAGCAAAGTATGGATGTACTGGAGCAAATATTTTGTCAGAGCTGGGGGGTTGAGCCCTTCTGCTGTTTTGATCTATACTCCCTAATCTATTTGGTTAGCATTAAAATAATGTGCCTTCCTAGAAATTGAGTCACAATTGTCAAAATATTATGGTGGTAAGGAGACCATAACCTATGATTAAATGAAAACTGAGAGCCCGAAGCGAAAATTTATTAGATTTTGCAACTTACTAGTTAAGTATTGTACTATTGCATTAGAGACAGTGAGCCCTGGGCCCAGGATTCTCTTTGCTTACATGGGGCCCCAAATTTCGGAAAATGCTTTTTCAGCACTTAAATGCTGCAAAGTGATCTTTTTATTTATTCTGTATCCACTAATCTTGAGAGAGTCTCCGTGTTATGGCAACAGAAGAGGGCCCCTACCAAACAATACGAGTTTTCATTTAATAGCAAAATTAAGAAAAAATCGTAATAATTTTGGGAGGGCCCACCGGGCGATCGCCCGGTAGCCCGACCGGCCAGTCCGCCCCTGCTCTATAGTCCATAAAAACTCTCATTCGGTTTAAAATCGCAGTGACTTAGTTACTTTATTCCTCTCAGTTTTTAAAGGCATTGAGTCATGATAAAACGGATTGGGTATACCCTAAGTGCCAAAATCCGCTGAGTCATGATTTTCATGAATGACATGCTATTGGTGGAACTGGTCACATGAACTCACCTCGTACTGACTGACAAAACAATTTCCATCAATAGCAAGTTGTCAACAACGGATGCAAGTATAACATGAAACAGCATCGATCACGCGGAAACCAAATGACCCCCTATAGAGAAGGCCTATTTACCATAACTTAATGCCTTTAAACTCAAGTAGAATTTAAAGAAGCCATCTGCTTCCAATTTTTCAACACCACGGAGGGAAAACGTCCCTTTTCCTTATTCGAAATGTTGAAATAACTGAAACTGTGGTATCCTTTGTTTCCCTTCTTCTCTGTCCTTCGAAGCTTCCCTTTGCAAGCAAGTGCATCTACTGTTGCAAAATTAGATTTTGGTCAATTAGACGGATAGTGAAGTATTTACTAGACTTGTCCAAGCCTCACTCCTTGGACCATTCTCTGTTGGTGATTCCTTGTGGGACCTTTGTGGACGTCCCTCCGTAGGAGTGTAGGAGCGAGGTCGTGGTATTTACGAAATCAATTTCTGATCTGTCGCCAATTTTTACTTTTCTACAGAAAACTGCCTTCTCAGGCGAGTTAAAACTCTTGCCAACTAAAATGAATGATTCATGTCTATTCAAAACAAAATACCGTGACATTTGACACTTTTGCTGGTGTAAAGTTATCTTGAGAGTGAATAAATAAGATGCTATTGATGGAAATTGCAAAGTCCTGTACCCAGGGTAGGCTCTTTGCCATGAAAGGAGAATATTCGTTGGAGAATATTCAGTGGAGAATATTCGCTGGAGAAATTACTCATCGTCAACAGGTTATACGGTTGTATCATTTTTAGATCGTCTCTAGTGTGAGGATTATCGAACCTTGATGGCTAATTTCTAGGCAGTAGCGCAACAGGAGTTAAAACTATTATTAACAAACAGAGATGTAAAGAGTTACTCTTTGCTGATTATAAAACATTGTACATGAAAAATAGCAAAACCACCTCTAAAAGTGTATCTTAGAGAATCTTCGAACAAAACTGCTTTAAACCGCTAGTATATCTTTCATGTAATGAAATTTTTGTACCAACAGTATAAGAACCTTTCTGACAATAATTTTTTTATTTGAGACTTGAAACTTGGAAATAAAACGCGATTTTATCGTAGAAAGCAATTCAAGCTTTACCTGGAGATCTGTGCTTTTAATGAATAAGACTTCAAAAGTTTCTTATAACTAAACCACAGTTAGAAAAAGCTGTACAGCCGAACAAGTTAATAGTTTGGCATTTGACCAATGCGTAGGGTGGCTACAAAAAATAGTGTAGCATGTTATCCTTAGCTATTTGTGCAAAGCTATTTGTTAGCCCAAAGGTAACATTATGTAGAGTCACATACCTGAAACCTGAAAAAAGAAGCCGAAGACCAAGAATAATCCAAGGGCAGATATATTCCACATGTTGCTTCGCTGTGTAGAACTTTGGCCTTTCGAGAAGAAGAAAGCCATGCACAGTTCTTGCCGTGACAGTTCAGGCAGAAGCAGTCAAGAACAGAAATTGGTTAACACCCTTGAAGTTTGGTTCAAAAGCCTTGTTACTTGAGCATGCAGGAACAATGCTGCAGAATCAGGGAAAATAATAGAGAAATTTGCAAGTTAATTCTAATAAACAAATCAGCTGTGCCGGCTTTGTCCATGTCCGATTGTCCTTGCTCACCAAGGGAAGACTTGGAAGCGAATAAGATTTTACTGCATTCCTGAGTTTATCACGTGCTTTTGGTGGAAATAGGGTTCGTCATGATTTTCCTTGGCACAATCAGGTAGCGGTAAACCATTTAAAATCCATTCAATTCTATTCTCAAAAGAACAAACAAATATCACGGACTTACATGCAAGACATTCTTACGAAAAATGGTTTAGGAGACATCTTAACATCTAGCCTGAATTGTCAATCATTTTTGAGCAAGCAAGCGTACATATTGTATTTTCAAAAAGGTCTTAAACTACAAAAGTATCATACGTTAAGGCAAAGTTACCCACAAAAATCTTTAGTGAATTCGGACATTCGGTGGTTTGGGTTTCTGAACGAAAGTGTTGGTCCCTTGACTTAGATGGATGTATTCAATTGCTTTGGGTCGGGGTTGTCGTGCTTATTTCGTACGCTGTTTCCACGCTGTTCTCTTCTCCAGTCCTTCCCCTGTCCCTCCCCCCTTTCGATATCAAGTGTAGTGTGCTTCTCCAAATCCTTGTAAATTGTATTGTATTAGGTTAGGGCCTATTTACAACAGAGGACTCATTTCAAAGTTCCTTTTTTTCGTTTAGTTTTGACGCAGCTCTTAATTCAGTCATGTTTTCTCTTCCCTTGAATATCTTCCCTTGGTGGGAAAAGTGAACTTTTCTTTTCCATTCTCTGCCCAGAACTCTAAGCTGCTTGTGCTTGAGTTAATTAAGCTATGTCAATCAAAGATCAGGCTTTTTGATGCACCAACGGCCCAACGTTGCTTCCTGTGATGAGGGAATGTAGGCCTTGTCTTCTTAGGGAGCTATTGATGGAATGCTTTGTTGATGTTTTGCTTCCGAGTAAGAAATTAATTGTGGGGTAAAAGAAGATGAAATACACTGTCTCGTCACATGGGAAGTAAATGAAACTGGAAGAAGGCGTTCGCCAAATTATCACCGTATGATAATACTATCAATATTTTGATAAAAATCAAATTCTTCCATTTTCTATAAAACGACTGAATTTGCAATGAAAACATATACGTCTCTTTTGTATTTAATTTTAGAAAATAGTTATTTAGCAAAATGACAAAAAAATTTCTTTTTAAAAGTTCTATTCATTCCTGTGATGTATTTTTATCATAAGCAGAGTATTCTGTTGTCATATTAGATTTTAGTTATTTCTATCACTAGCTGAACTAAGCAATATACATTATTGAAAAAAATCTGCAAGCCTTGGCAAAGGCAAACAAAGGCTCCCTGGAAAATGCCTGGAAAAGTCCTTTAAACGATAAAACCAAGGTTTTAGAAGAAAGTTTATAGTAAGCGCAGCCAAAGATTTAATTAGCATGTTCATAGCCTTTGTTTTATCCGATGTCATCCCAAAGTAGCTATGTAACGTATTCAAAAGACATAACTAACTTTAAATTCGACTGTCCTGCACTTTTTAGGGGTATTTCATAGTGTTTTCAGGCTATGTAGTGAAAATTCAATAATTCTATAAATAGACTTGCATGATGTCATCAATTTGAAACGTTATTGGCTAAGAATTGACCAGTGAAAGTGACCAGTAAACATAATCTTCATAATCGATTCGTGCATTACATAAGCTACGATCATTAGCTGAGACAAAATGGCAATTGGGAGATAATGCTATTTCAGAATGCGATTTTCACAACAGCCCCCCCCCTTGAAGAAGGTTAGGCCCCCCATCAGAAAGTAAACTAAAGCCCTGTTTACACTACAACTTTTAAGCTGAGTTAACGCTAACCTGGGTTGAACCCAGGTTGAATCCACTTTCATTTACACTGCATTGACCACAAAGTATAGTGTAAACGCAAAGTTAGGTTGAACCAAGGTTAGTTTCCCCACGCATGCGCTTCCTTGTGAATTACGACCATTGGCACCTTTCAACATTATATTCACCTTCCCCCTGCAGTCTTCTTGCAATCTTAGCAAATAAAGACCATTATCTTGTACAAGAATCTTGTTTCTTGATCCCTGCGTCCGCCGATATCTCGATTAATGTTATGACTCCGTTGTCACCCCACAGTGAACCTCTCTCGGTCTTTATTCACTCATTTTCAAAATTTGTTGCTTCGAATTGAAAGACCACACCCTCGAGGGTTCCAAGATAACTTTTGTTTTGACAATTACTTTGCGTGTAGGCGCCTTTTGATGCATGGCTCGAAAAGCGCATGCGCGGGTCAGATAATTAATCTGGGTTCCATTAACCCAGGTTGTCGTTTACAATGCATTTCGAAGTTCTTATTCTGGGGTCAACCTAGGTTCAACCCACCACTAGAGTAGGATTGGCTCAATCTAGGTTCAACCCAGGTTAGCTGCGTTTACACTGCAAAGTTTCTAACCCAGGTTAAACGCAGACTAAAAGTTGTAGTGTAAACAAGGCTTTAAGGCTCAGGCACCGCGGAGCAGGAGGGGGGCTGGGGGGCTCTAGCACCCCACTTTTTACAAAAAATGCCAAATATTAAGTATCAAACTACCAGAAAAGCCTCTTTTTACACGGTTGTAGCTCCCCCACTTTTTTTAGACCCCCCACTTTTCTCAACGCTCCGCGGTGCCTGAGGCTCTTGTACAACCGGCATGCTTAGCGGCAGTTGTCTTGAGAGAAATTGATCGTTTTTTGCAGGACGGTGTTAGGGCAGGTTTTGGAATTATAATTGCAAACATGCCGGTTGCGCAAGAGCCCTGTATGAAAAGATTTTCATGTGCTTATTATAATCAGAAATTTGTAAAATCATTCAAATTTCTTTGCAGTAAATCCTATTGAATTAAAAGAATTCCAGTAATCCATGCTCTTGGTGTCTTCTAAGGGGTCAAAGTAAACTTTTTACTGTTAAAGTAACGTCTATTAAACTGTTCACGATGCTTGAAATTTACCTTTTTGAAATAAATTAATCTTAGGTAATTTTATTGGGGGAAAGGTGTATGCATGTGTGTCTTAGAGATGTTTGTTTAAATAGTCAACATTTTAGCGAGGACGCCTAAAGTAGATACTGAATTGCTAATGTAACATTTGCACCATCAGCAGTACCTTAGCTAAAAGGCCAATGTTGACAGGTTTATAGCAATACTGCACAATACAATGATTTCAGGGCCTTACAAACTAATAGAGTGAGGGACTCTTTAAAACATTGAGAGATCATAAATCTCAGTCTTCTGCCACCATGTGAAGAAAACACAAAGCTTTAAATTATGCATGCAAACTAAATCACTATGATTTTCAAGGTGGTTTGATGCTTCAGTTGGGCTTCCTAGTAGATAGATCATGGTCGGGGTGAATGGGGATTCTATTATCAGAGTGAAAAAGAGCTTTACGCTTAGAAAGTCGCGTTCAGTGACTCAGAAGGCGATCTTGAGGAACTTTGAAACGATTAAATTACTTTTAGATGACCCGGTTGTTTTTTATAGTGTCGTTTATTAGTTAGTAATTAATAGCGCTGCGTAGTTCCTTCGGACGACAATTCAAAAATTAGTCTCAAAAAAGATGTATTAAGTTTTTTAGATGTCTATCTAAGAATAAAAATTTTAAGATTACGCAATTTTCTCTTGAAAATGAGGCTTTTGGCCCCAATTAACAGACCGACATTCAATTTCAAGCATTTGTGTACAATAAATGTGCTTAATTAACTTTAAGACTTTAACTTATTTCCATTTAAACTGTTTTTCACTGATTACTTTCATATACGTAGAAACGAGACTTCAAACACGAAAAAGAGGCCGATGGCCTCCCAAAATCCCCATATAACATTGATTTTCGAAATCAGCACCCTCGAATTGACCAAAAGCCCTTGGTCTCATAAATTTCGTTCTCGAGCGACCATTCCCCTATTCTCCGCCTGGCCTATCTAAGTTAAATCTACTACTGACGCTATTTATGGTGAATTAGGCATACCCTGGGTACCAGAGCCGCAAAAATTTAACGGTAGCAAAAAATAATGAGAGCTGCGGAGTCGAAGGGGAGAGACAAGTCCTGACTTATTTTTTCGAGGAAATCTCTTTCTGATGAACTTTTAAGCTAGCCAAAGATTCTATATGCCGGTCTCGTACCACTTAACGCAAAATTTAATCTACATAACAGACACGAGGAGGCATTTTTTCAACTGTAAATGGGCAGTAAACTTTGACCGGAGTATTCTCCGCCATTACAGTCCATTCTATTTTCAAGCCCCACCCGACACCCGATTAGCGATTGTGATTGTGGTGATTACCCAATTAGCGATTGTGATCAGTGGTGAATCCGCATGTTCCACGCGGGATATAGGTTTGCAATTGATGGAACCAGAGCCGCTTTTCTTCTTCCCTCTTCTCTCTCGTTTGCCTCCGCAGCTCTCATTATTTGTTGCTGCCGTTACATTTTTCGGCTCTGTACCCAGGGTTAATTAGGCAAAATTTACAATCACTGCAACAGGCGCATAAAGATATCTTAAAATTCTTGCTCAGGCTTGAACTTCTTGATTTGGAACCAGATAGGTATGTTTGCAAAACATTTGAAGCGCTCCTTATCGTTGAAAACAAGAGCACCGCAAACTTGGTATCGCCCAAGAATTTAAAAACCAGATATGAAATCAAGCACAACGATAACACTGCTGTGGTAAAAGCCAATAGGTAGGGAATTTTCTCAGACAATCTGAATATCAGCCAAACCAAAAATGTTTTTATCGAATCTGACTAAAAAGACCACGCAGATTCCAAACTCAAGATATAACTTTTGAAATTTTGATCGGAAGTTGTAGATTTTGATGACGTCATTAGGCAACAAAAACCGACACATTTAACTGTTTAACAGTTTTTGTTGTAGCAGTAAGAGCATAAAGAAATACATATTTACAATCAGCATTCAGCGACAATTCGAATGATATATAACTTAACTAAATTTGCACGCATCAGTAATTTCAGTGATGACGTCATCATCTCATTGAACTGTCGCTAAAGGTTAGTATCTTTAGCCTGAAACCCATTTTCAAGACTCTTTACAAAATTATTCCTCAAATTCATAAAGTGCACGGAATAATTTGGTTCATCAACTTGCGTATGCACTAGTAATTTGAGTGATGACGTCATCATGTTCTTTCTAATTCTACTGTAGAATTCTTACGAAGATTTGGATTGTTCCTAATTGCAAAACTTGCACATAAGTTTAAATTAAAACTACGTTGAGAACTATAGTTACCTAGTAAAGAAGTGATTTCAGTCAAGTCTTGCAAAAATAAATTTAAGTATAAAAGGAGTTTTTATTTTCAGGGTCACCTGTCAGCGTCTTCGTTGCAACTCTCTGATGCACTTTCTGCAGACTCTCCGAAAAATATAAAGTCAAGTTCAGCGCTTGAAAATAGAATATCTTCTTTGCTTTCCGCTTTTTAGCCGGTATTCGCATCATTTCATTCAATTCATTTTACTTTCAATTATTTAAGCAAAATATATTTAAGCATATGGTAGCCCAATCTGCAATGCTGGTTTACAAAGGGCCATGCATCTAAACTAAGTTGTTGCAGCAGTGTTGTTGTAATTGGGTTAGAGGTCATCTTGGCCTAGATACCTTTTAATAAAAAAATTATTGCTGGAGCACCAACACAAAAATAAAGCGAAAGCATTGAGAAGTCAGAGAGTTAGTTTTCCCAGGAGCTATCAACACTTGAATATTTTTGTATTCTATCTACTGTGGTGTAAACAACATCGCTTCACAAACATCCACTATCTCTTATAGGTTTTTTTAACTTATCAACGCAAATAACGTATTATTAACTAAGAATAACTTAATGTTGTTATACAAACTTAATGTTGTTATACAGAGTAACGTTTCGGTGAAGAGTACCAAAATGATGACGTCACAAAAATCAGCTTTTAAGTGTTTTTCAATTTTCACCATATATCCCAAAGAGCATTATGAAATAATTCTAAATGTGCAAAATCAGTTAAATTTGTTGCAAATTGGCTGAGATGTGGCCACATAGGCATAGGCTCTTTTCCCGTCAAACCTTTGTAATTTGTTCTTGGTTCATAACTTTATGAACCAGGCCAGAATAACAGCAATCCATTGATGAAATCTTTGATTGGCTATATCTCGCCCAATTTTGAACATATCTACCTGATGGGTGGCTTGGAACAACCAGCAGCAAGTGGGGCTTTCATCGAAGATTTTCACTGATCTCCCTTGCCAACGACGAGGGGAACCACTGGCTTTTTGCAGTCCTTCAGTGCTTTTGTAAGTTGCTCATACATGCCTGCCCCTTGGTTGGCTGACTTAAGTCTTTCAATGTCAATCCAAACTTTGAAGCCAGCTTTCGGCGCCTCGTTTTTCACCAAACGTGGATCGGAAAATTCATTACCGACCAACCCAGTGATCTGCTTAGCTTTTTCAGCAATTTGTGAATTTGTCCAATTGTATGACAGAAATATGTC